GTCAATGACATCTGGTTTATTTTTCTGGTTTGACGTTTCTAAATTTACGGAACGGTCGGTACGTTTTTTTTTTGCAAAACGATGAATTGAAAGGATACCATAAGTGCAAAAATAAGCATATAACACCATAACGCAAAGACAACTTTTCAAATTTTGCTTATTTTTCTCAAAGCGAGCGCCATTGGGAAATCTCGCACAATTCACGATTGAGTTGGAGACGCTCGAGTTCGGTGTCCAAGCAGAGCGGAGCAGGTCACGTAATACCAGATATTCAAATAGCAAAATGCCATTCGAATATGTTATTATTCGAATATTTGGCCCAGCCCTAGTTGTTACGTGTTGTTGTTACGATGACTTGGTATTTTGATTACGCGCTTAAGGTTTGTTGCTATTTTACCTTGCGTTGTTTGTGTGCGGCTCTTCATACCTTTGAGGCTTGAAATGCGGCTCTGGGACTAAAAAAGTTTGAGAACCACTGGTATAGAGTGATCAGATAAAACACAAGGTATAATATCAACTTTGCACTGATATAGCAACAAATGCTGAGATAGTAACACCATATCAATTCGGGTGGCAGTTTTTAATTGTTTATGAAAATGAGAGTATACTTTCTTGCTTGGATTTATTACTCTGAAGGAGTCTTGCAAACCCGACTTATGTTGCTACGACACTGCTTTTAATACGATTGCAAATAGTCTGATTAGTTTAATTTGTTACTTATCGATCTTTAGATCGGTAAGTATGTTGATAGGTATTTGTCTGTCTGTTAGATGCACGCGATATCTCACGAAGGCGTGGTTGAATCTGCTCCAAATTGCATGTGCATTCATCATATCTCGGACCAGAAGCCTATTGATTTTGGATGAATTATGTCGTATAATTAGCGAGTTGTTAATTAATAAGTGATGGGACACGCGGTGTCACTATAGAGTCATGAATCGAAATCGCAGTTTCGATCGATAAGTCCTCGGTCTCCGACCGATATTCTCGTTTTAATTTTGTGGAAAACCCTGATGCGGCCCGGACTCACTCAGACTCTGATCCAGCAGCCGCTGGGTAAATTGGGTTTGAGACATGGAACACATGGAATAAATGCTGAAGTTACAGAGAGAGAGAGATTTATTGCCACAAAACAAATTACATATTGTGAACTATTTGTGTGACAGACAATAAAATCAGTGCGTTGCCAAAGCTTGTTAAGATTCCATATTTTTGATTGAGTCTATAGTCCTCTATTAAGGTCCTTTCACTTGCATCTAGCGGATTTTTTTTCTTTCGGATACGACATGGAGAGATTGTTGGGCTTTTCTTCTGCAAGCTTCAATATAGGTAGCCATTTGTGAATCTGTGTTTATAATACTGTAGGCCAATGCTACAATAAACAAAAAACAATGACTTCAACAACTGAACAATTTCTGAATCTCAACCCTAGTTTAATCTGTAAATGCGGCAGATATCCCACAGCTAAGTTAACGGCACTAGACTACATACACGCTTACCCGAGTAAGACCTTTTGATACTATGCCTATTTTTACAAAGTATGCTAACGTCTCAACGAGCCTATTTTAATTTGAATCACTGCTGAGAGCAATCCGAACTGTTAACGAGGCGAAGATTGTCCTCGTTAGCTAGCGAGCTCTTAAGCGCGTTAAAGAACTTTCGTGAATACCTATTCTCGGTAGAATGTGAGAAGAAGGCACTTTACGAGACGTCTCATTTGACGCCAAAAAATTCTTTCGAATAATTTCTCTCGAATATTTACGAAGCTCTGTGAATACCATTTTTGCTTTTCACGAGAAAGTCGGTGCTTAACTAACACGTTACGCGGTAACGAAGCTTTGTCAATGGGGGCCCCAGGTCAATGTCAGTAAATGAATCATTTTAAGGAGGCAATTTTTGGTAATGCACAGTGATTGCTGATACACAGAGTCATAATCCAATTGTAAGAGGTATTCCCGATTTTCAGTACACACGGACGTACTCTAATTTACACTATATATACAAAATGTACTTAGTTAATATATTGAAATTAGTATATTTCACAAAAATTAAATATACCGTATATACAATCGGCACTAGTGAGCAATATTTTATCACTTTTCAAAATATGACAAATATACAGTTTAACTTTTTTTGTTTACTATTCTGATAAAATTATAAGTTCTTTACATAATATTTGTCGCGACTGAAATCTGTACCTGTAATGATTTCGTACTTTTTAGATATATGTCACGCGAAAACTAAATGTAACCGCATTTGCCTTTCACAGCCTACTCATCTGTGAAACGAGAGTTGTAATTTATTTTTCTTACTCAGAAAATATGTCAAGTTAAACACAGATGTAATCTAATATAACGGCCAAACGTAAATAAACAAACATAAATTTTCTAATTATTGAGTTTTCATAAATGTTGTAACACTAAGTCAGTAAGTATATGGCTTTTTAATTATAAATAATATTTGGACAATTAATTTATTAGTAAGCATTTTTTCACAATGATTCCAGGGTACTCCCGAAGTATGTGAACCAAGATGGCGGACACCGGAACGTAGTATGTGTGCCAGGGTAGAGTTAGGTCATAATTTTATTCCAATTTTCTTTATTTTAGTGCTATTACGCGTTCGGAGACTAGCTAAGTGACACCTGTAGTATTTGTACCTGAAATTTATGGCTTAACCCTAGGGTTACCATATTTTTGTGACTTCAAATCAGGACGCCCCAAAAGACAACGACCCCTGTGTGAGCTGTGATTTTGTAACTTCACATTTTCCGATTTTACTACATAGGCCTACATTTGAAGCTGTCCCGGCTGTCTTTATTGACCATATTGTTAGCAAAATTTCAAGCACATATTCTCTGTTCAAATATCGGGTTCAGTTCGAAAAATAAGAAGGATTTGACGTTAACGATACCGGTACAAATAATTCGAATTTAGACTAATTAGTATTGGTTTTACATGCGATGCCATAAATGGGAATCAGCGGGAAACCAACGCATTCACCTTCAGTAAGTAGGCTAGCGCTGCGCTACACAGAAACAACGATAACGAGAACATGTTTGTGTATTATGCTGGAAAAGCGGGACTTTGGGATGACTTATCGGGACGGCGGGACAAAACGCTGGAAAGCGGGACTGTCCCGCCTAAAGCGGGACGTATGGTAAGCCTAGTTATGTGCAATATTTAGCCTAGGAGTATTCTATTGAAAATAGATCAGAACTATTAAAAATTTGCTAAAAAAGCCATGTTAAAATTGATGTACCAGATTAAGATCGTTGTATTTACTCTCACATCTCAATAAAATGGTGAACAACACAGAGACAGGGTATTGGACTAGTTATAGATAGACTAACGTTGAATTACTGCGAGATGCGAAGTTCGATGCGAGAAGCGACCAATAGATATGACAACATCATAGCACGAGGCTATTGTTTAGCAGTAGAAGAATGCAGTCTCGGCCGATAATGGGCGAAAGGCATACTTCTATATATAATATAGCATTGTTGTATTTTGTTAAAAATACTTTAAAAAGCGCGTTGCGTTATTGAACATTACGCCATATTAGTTCTACACACTGCAATACGTTATATCACAAGCATGGTCGTCATAATTTCAATGAGTCAGTGCAGTTACCGTCATATTTCCAGAAATTTGATCACATCTGCATTGTAACCCCTATCATTAAAAAAAATATTAACAGAGCATGTGAGTTTGTTTATACCTCACAAATTAGAGGAAGTACGCGCTTTAACTGAAATTTACAGTGTTACACTATACCGTTGGATAGATACGCCTCGCGCTAGGAATATTTACAAATATATACCGTATTTGCTCGTTTAATAGCCCGGGCGTTTATTTTTGGACACGTAGTGGACATAACGATCGTTTCAATATTATGTTGTTGTTGTTCTTCGACACGTTTTTAAAAAGTCGCTTTTCTCTTCGAATACTGGACCAATTGTTTTGAAATTTTCAGTGGTTAAAGATAAAAATTTTCTCCAGAAGGCTATTACTTTTTTTTTGCTATGACGTCATCAAAATTATGTGACTCTACGTGTCCATATATTTGAGCATAGCTCTCTTGTTTTAAACATACTCACTAACCGGGCCCTTATTCAAACCGGCTCTTATTCAAGCAGGGGCGCTTGTTATTTTTAAAGTAAAATTACACACAAAAATACCGGTAGATAAGATCGATCGTTACAATAATCATTACCGTATATTGTCATTTCCAGTTCTCAAGTATGATTTAAACGAGCATAATGAAAATTTTGACTTTTTCTACGCACCGCAGGTACAAATCCGCAAAAAAAAAATTTTACACCGGGCGGGTATTCAAGCACCGGCCCTTATTTATTTTTATGTCCTGTTCACACGGGCGGCTATTCAAACGGGCCCTTAATCAAGACCGGGCGTTAAAACGAGCATTTACGGGTATATATGATAATTAGGAAAATGGCAGACGGGATACCTGGTGGGTGGTTTTAATACGTTAGAAAGAGATCTATTATACCAGTTTTTAAGAGCTAAGCCAGAAATAAGTTTTTCAATTTAATTACTGCTACCGTACATGTCATGATTGAAAGTTTACAAATATATATTTAGAATCCTTATTTGCTTTCCACCGTACCGTGGTCTCTAATAATGTCATTGACTGATAATATGACGTCACAGTCCTGTAAGTTTGTATTTTCACTGATATAACGAGTAAATTGAAATTGTCAAAAAGTAGGCTACACATTCGACATGTGTGAAATCCTCATTAGCATATTTTTCTAACAGCATTTGTTTTTGAGTGTGAGACTAAAACTTAATTATCCTCCAGTTGATAATTTTAGCCGAGTTAAATCAGCTGATAGGCTAGTTTTACTGTCGTTGGACTCACTTTGCAAATACTTTTTCCATCCATGGTCTCGACCAAACTCTTTCAACAGTAGAACTAAGATATTCTTTCTTACACGCACAACCAGCTTTTGCTTTATCTTTGCAACAGTAGTTTTATATTTAATTTTGCAAATATGTTGGGGCGAACGATAGTTATTGCTGCTTTGTTTTGGAAGTATGCATCATCTTACAACATAGAAACTACAAAGACGTTCTCTTTGTATATGAGAGATGGCGGTGCCAGCAGTAGGACGACTGAAAAGGAACCTGCTTATGCTGGCTACACGTTCAACGTTAGGTTAGAAGATGAAAATGTGAGGTAACTATACCAGCAAATTTCATTTTAAGATCTTTTTATCTTATCTGTGGATATTTTAGAACTTAATATAGTAAGGTAAAACTTTATTTATACTATGTATGTATATATATATATATATATACCCTGTGTACAGTGTAAAATAACAGGTACGTCAAGTCGTGATATATATATATATATATATTATTTAAATTTGGTATTATCGTCATAACGATTTATGCAATACTCAAATAAAATCTTTATAAATTTTGTTATCATACAAAATTTGGCATTATGCCTATCCTTGAAAAGAGCTGATTAAATAGGTTAATTGTACCCTGGTTATGAATAACCACTATACGAGACTAGTACCACTAGTAACCACAATATGCGCTAGGCCTCACGTATATTCTATATTTTACCAAAAACGAGCAAAAACTTACGTTTCTAGAATACTCGTTGGACAACCCCGTGCAGGTGTAGTTAATCAAGCTATATCACCAGGAGCAATTTTTCTTTGCAACTTCACGTACGTTGGCGAGCCTTTAGCAACGACGAGTCTAATGGCGGCTACTGAATCTATAACAACGTATGGTTCCAGCGAGTTCACAACAACAACATTTGAAAGTACGGTAGCAAAGTACAGTAGCAAAGTACGGTAGAAAATAAGACAGTGTCTTATTTCAATTTTCTTTTGAAAAATAACACTAGGGCTTATTTTCAGGAGATGTCTTTTATATTCATTTATCAACAACTAAATCGCAAATTAGAGAATTACGAGATTTTTAAATATAAAAAATATGAAAACCGATATCCATTTATACTTAAATAACACGTTTTCATCTTTCACGCGTTTTACATTAATCATTTAAAACGTGTTGGAGAGATTTCTTGCTATCGACTAGGTCAGGGGTGGGCAACCCCTGGCACGCGAGCCCATTTATTCGGCACGCAAGTGAGGCCTCCAAAACGAGATAATTCTCTTTCACAAGAGTTTTAAGACTCTTATCTGATGAAACTCTGTGTCCGTTTATTCAATATTGTTTGTTAACAATCCGATATTTATTTAAACTCTTTTTGTCCTTTCATGACACATGGCTACAAAGAAATATATTATGACGCCACAACCGAGTGAGATCTCGACAATTTCGGTCGGCACGCAGAAAAATTTTGTCATTAAATATAGTCGATTTTGGCACGCGAGCCGAAAAAGGTTGCCCACCCCTGGTCATAAAAATATCGCGCTATTGACTAGGTCTTATTTTAAGGGGAGGGCCTATATTGAAATCATTCTTAAAATTCAGGCTAGGTCTTATTCTCAGGATAGGTCTTATTTTCGGGGAAACACAATAGTGGACGTGTGAAATCGTTTCGGTATTATGTTGCTATTGTGTTTGTTTATTGTGTTACTTTCTATCGTTATGAAAGAGTTGTTTTTCCCCTTTGCTTACTGGACGAATTGTTTGAAATTTTCAGTGGGTAAAGATTATTTTTTGCTAGAAAGCTATTACTTTTATTTATTCCTAAATTTTCTATGAATCCTGTTAGATCTGATATTTCATCCAAAATTTCGCTGTATTAATTTTTACTCATGGGCACACTGTTTTGAACTTATTTCAAGTGGTTCCGCAATCGAATATCAGGCCTACAGGTACGGTACTGGTAAGTTACGGTACCGCATATGATTTTCCGGGAATTGATGATACATACTGCATGTGTGACTACGTCTAATTGCGGTACTTTTGTTGTGGGGTGATAAATAGTTATTGTTTCAAATTGAAAAAGGCTCGCTAACTCATTTCAATTTTTTTCTCATTCAAAGATTATATTTATATATTTAAACATAAGGTATCGTGATGTGCCATTAACAATTATCGACCATGGTCCGCTACGATTGAAATCTTGCGCTTCTCGACATAAAATATAGAAATATATAGTATTATAACATACCGTATGTATATACGTGAAAAAAACATTATGCCGTCATACTGGATTTCCGTTAAATATATTATGATGTGGCTAGTACTTAGGCATTTGTTATTTAGATCATTTGGAATATTTTGTTGAATCATTAGTTTGGTTGACTAGTCAAAATTTAATCATTTTAACAACAAATATTATTCAAAATTCAAATCCAGCAATGGGAATGACGACAGTTGGCACGGAACTTACAACAGGGGTGCCAGATTTTTTATCGCCAACCTGCACCAAATTAACAATTTTTGACAGCACGGATCGAACTCAGATTGGACAAGATCACAAAATTCAAGCTGATGCACTCGGTCTCTCGATTGAAAAATTGAAAAACAGCTCGGATTATGTGGTAAACATGTATAAATCTGTCATACATTTAATTTTTGAAACTACTTCAATATAGTATGTAACGATCTAATAACCGTTACTTATAACGAGGTTGTAAACTGGCAAATAATGATGGAGCCAGCTGTATTTGAGAAAATGGAATCCCATCGGTTCGGCCCTAATCACTTCAATTTTTGCATTCTAGTCGAAGTGAAGGTGAAATGACTCACCCTTGATGCCAACATCATTTAAATCAGATACTCGGAACTAGGGTTGGACAAAGGACTAGACTAGCGGGCCGGATGCGACGCGCCATTTAGTGCGACCCAGCTTTGCTTGGGTAAACTTGCAAAAGCTGAAAAAAGAGGATTTTTGTTAAACTCTATTTGAAATATCTAAACTATGAATTGTTAAAATAATATTCATGCTTTTACATCTCCGGTTCAAAAGTGTCATTCACCATGAAATTGGAAACTATCTAAAAATACTGCCCATCGCTTTTCTAGCTACTCTACTCACTCTTAATTCACTCTTCAATAAAACCATTCTTATTTTCCATTGTTTTTCAATATATCACGACATGTTTATTTTCCGATTACCCAAATAATGCTAAAGTCGAACTGTATTTATATATTTAACTTCAGGTCTGCACTCCTCTTCGGCAGAAAAAATGTCCAGGATCGGGTCGCACACCTGGTGCTTGCTATGTTGGAAACGAACATGGTAATTGGGAATTCAAAGTTTGGAATGAATCAAGTACGTAATAAATAAAAGAAACAGTTGTATAGAAAAGAAAATCTATGGTAATAAAAAAGAAATAAGGTAAAGAGAAGTGAGTTTATGAAAGAGGAATGAAGAAAAAGTAGAGTGTGAGAAAAAAAAGATAAAATTGACGTATTCAGAAGGAGAGAACACGAATTTAATCCTTCCTCATTTTTGACAGAATGCTTCGATAAAACAATTGAAATTATTTTTGTCGTGGATGGATCTCGTAGCATCGGTGTATCAAATTTCGAGCTCGTGAAGCAATGGTTGATAAATGTAACAGCTAGTTTAATAAATGATTTCGGAGACGCGGTTCGAACGGAAGTTTTACAGTTTTCTAATGGAGATAAACCGTGGAGTCCGTAAGTTGAATAATTAAACGTAAATTCGTAAATTATTTATGATTAACAAAATCTTTTTTTCGTTTTAGTGTCCCAATTGAAGAATCCAAGAAATTTGTTATTCCTTACGCTTTACAGGATAAAGTTAATATTGAAAAAATAACTGAGCTCATTACTGATATGCCATATCTAAACTCTTCCACGTACACATACTATGCACTGCAAAGAACAATGGAGGTATGACATAATACAAGCAAGCATTCTTATAAATTTTATTTTGTATTTGATTATTTACTCTTTGACATATTTCTTTATCACAGGTGGAATTCTCAAAATCCGGATACTATGACACGTCTGTGAAAATGGTCGTGGTTCTCACCGATGGAGAAGCGAATGATGGGGCTTCCCTCGGGGGATGGTGAATTGATTTTAATCATCTTTTATCACCTTTTTGTTTTGGATATTCATCCTCTATGGCAGGGTTATTCAACTATTTTCACCAAAGGTCCATACACAGAATTCAAAAAATTATCGGGTCAGGTTATTCCGAAAAATAAATCGGATTCGGACCGCGGTCCGCCAGTTGAGTAGCCCTGGTATACTATTTTGCAAAATCGGGTTATTGATCTAATTTCCAAATTCAAAAATACAACTAAAAACTGACAAAAAGCATGCAAATCCACAAAACACATTAATGTCTAAAAATCTGTGAAAAATGTATCCAAACGGCTACTGAAACTTTAGTTTCGACGCCACCATGATTGCTAGTTAGCCAATGCTAGTGGAGTAAACAAGTAAGTCGATGATCTGAGAAATTTATATAGCTGTGACAATTTATACCTCAGTGGTTTAGCAAGACAGATTCAAATCTGTGGTATATCGTTTTGATCGATGTTTCAAAGTTAACTCCACAAAAGAGCCTTTATAGTCACCTAGACATAAGTAATTACTGTGTTCAAAATTGAGTTTTGGCATAGCCTACCAGAGTTACAGCCTGTCATAGGCTATCAATGACTATTCAAAACAAAGTAAAACATTCATTTTTATTAATTCTCAGGCATGATAAATATAAACACATGATAACGCCGTTTGCTGTTGGAGTGGGAAATTATGAAAATTTTTTGAATCAACTGCAAAATATTGCTAACGGAGGGACTGGAAATGAAAGAGTTCTGACAGTTGCCGACTTTGGTGCCTTACAGGGCATTATTAAAGATTTAACATCAGTCATAAAGAGCGAAGCATTAGAGGGTTATTCATTTTATTTTCACTTTTACCATAATTATCAGTAATGCAGGGTCCAAATAAAGTCCCTTCACCAATTTTAGTTGTGAAGTCAGAATCTGATTTGTTGTTTTTTAATCAGTAATTATTTCAGTATTTCTTCTTCATTTCATACATCCATTAGGGCCAAAACCATGTATATATGGTATCGATAAATTCTGTTTGCATTTAAAAAAAAATTTAAAACTCTATGGACACCTATAAATAACAGGGTTTCCCAAAGTGGTGTCCGCGATCCCACGGGGGTGCGTGATGACTGCACAGGGGGTCCACAACGATATTAAAAGAGTATGATCGATCCTTAATGATTGACTTCAATCAAAAAGCCAAGGGTCTTTTTGGTTGAGCGTTGAGTACGAATATCGGTGTTAATTTCGTCCGAAAATGGGAAATAAAATTTTATTGTCTTTTGCAATTACAAAATACAGGTCGAAATTTGGGGCCCGTCAAAACTAAGATTCACAAACACGGATCCGCGGCCCAAAAAGTTTGGGGAACCCTGCCCTATAAGCATCTATTCATTTATAGATTATACCGATAAATTATGAAAGAGTAAATATACTGGAAAATTAAATTGTAATTGTGTCATTTCCTTGTTATGGCTTATGAAACATTGTTTGATAAATATATATATACATATATGACATCATGACAGGTCGCAAGGGAATCAGCGAAATAGGAAAAGACATTGACAATGCACAAGTCGGTGCATCGATAGCATCAAGTATGGTGAGTGCGTTTAGTTAGATTCATAAAAATTTTCCCGACCTAAAAACGCTCAATTGCTGCTCCGTTGAATCGCCCAGCATGGCTACTCAGGGTTTTGAGTTAGTCATTTCAATTCAATTAATGTAATTCGTGCATCTTTATAAACAATTTCACTCTATACTCCCCGAGTAGCAACGAGCCTAACACCAAAAAACTTAACCTTGTTGAATAGATATGGGTTTATTTGGATATATAATGACAGTTTCATTGCCATTACAGCACGGATCTTTATATATTGGTGGAGTTGGAATGTATCAAGGGATTGGCACCATCATGAAGTATGGAAAATCTACCGATAAAGATTCATATATCTCACCTTACTCCAACGTTGAAAACGTTTTGAAGAATTCTACCGAAGATACTCCATATTTAGGTTGGTAAATTTTCACGCGGATTTAAATAGTCTAGCTAGCGGTGACAAATTTCAGTCATAGTAAAAGGCTTGCAGTTTTATATTCATCATGAAACTGTACAATAGCAGGATATATTTTTAAAACTCGCTGACACGCATAAAATAAGACATGAAACGCAAGAGAACACACGCTTGCTCACCAATACCTTTGACGTTGATTCGTTGGAGAATTTATCTGCTAGTATTACCAGAATACCAGTCGCAACGTACAATTATTGTCACTACAGGATACGCCACTGTCACGGGATTTTTTGACGGAATCAATTCGACAGAATACGTAGCAACTGGGGCACCAAGATACAAGCTAGAAGGAGCTGTAAGAACGAAATACTTCTATATACCTGGTGAACTGTTTGCGAAGCGAAAAAGTTAAAATAAATGCAGTATAACCAAGCACCACGCTCGGACAATCATGTCGCAGTTAAACAAATCGTAGTCGATTAAATATCCTATGAAATAAATATTCACATTACCGTATACGTCATTCTCACATTAGGCTAATATTACATGCTTTTAAAGGGTGCTCCTGAAGTATGCGCACCAAGATGTCGCATAACCTGAACCCTAACCTGGTACACAACGTGAGTTCAGGTTGTGCGCCATCTTGATGCGCATACCTCAGGAGGTCCTTTTAAAGTATACATATTCTATGGATTGTCACACCCACACGTGGTTCAATTGTTGTCTAAAACCAGTTTGTCGCAAAGCTAAGCTGTATAAGATGGCCATTTGTAGTATACTAACAGCGGTAAGAAATAAATCCAAATTTGATAACGTTATTCAATTTACATTAGGTTATCGTGTACGAGTCTGTTCCAGGAAGCACTGATTGGAAAGATGCCGTTACGATACTACCCCCGCCAGTCGATAAAATGCATACTGGTTGTTATTTCGGTGGAGTTTTGTTGACTGTTGACGTGAATGGTGACGACAAAGATGACTTGTTGGTTGGCTCACCTTTATACATTGATCAAAATTACGACGAAGGCAGAGTTTTTGTTTATATTAGTCAGAAAGCCAGTTCCTCATCGAGCTGGGTAAGTTAGTAGGCTTTAAAATGCTCTATATAGTTTACCAATAACTAAACGAGGAAAGAATATATACCAAAAAGTCCATTACCATTCTAGATCAGCGGTTTCCAATCTTCCCGTTCGCGCGGCGCCAAATTATCAGGCCAAAAACCCACGGCGCACTTACACGAAAAAATGCTGCTTTAAATGAAACTCAGTTTTGTGATCGCTAATGTGTACTTTATGTCTTTCAAAGTTTCTATACATGTAGGCCTAAGAAATAAAAGCAAAATGTCAACTATTCACCTTCATCTCTGCGTGATTTTCCTTTGAAATACTAAAAAAATCGCTCAATTTGGCTAAACTCGGTTCAGCAGCAAAAATAATCTGCAGCTAACGAAGTTGCAGCAAGTAGAGTCTGCATGAGCGGATTAAGCCCCTTTGGTGCCCTAAGCACTGAAGACTTTGGTGCCCCCTCATGTGTAATTTAATTATAAAATGAATAAACCACATAAGTGTATTATCCATTAAAAATAATCACAACCAACAGTAAATAAAACGACTTTTACGAACATTTTTAGGTTTTTTAACTGTTATATATAGCTGATATATATATCGGCCGTTTACTTCCGATATGATATATCGGCAAACACGCAATATCGGGCTGATATATCGGTTGAGCTCTAATCCTGAGGGAGTGTGACAATGAAGATGCATGCCTCCAGTCTCAACGTCAATCGAAATACCAAAGGATACAAGTCACAACTGTAGTTTGACATTTTATCGGTACCTAGTACACTGTTATAAATTTTCGTAGCTTTAACAAGAAAATGGCAGTTAAAAATACATTTCACTTCCCTGTTTTGTGACGACGTAGAATATACTGGAAATTTCTAAAAGAACGATGGGATTTCACATCTCTTTTGCTTTTCTATTGGGAACTTACCGGGAATTCCCTGCAATTTGGGCTGTGGAAACGGGATTGTCCTGTAATTTTTACAAGGCAAATTGAGTAATTTTAAACAACGATAGTTTACTAAAATAAAGGCACAAAACGTTAGAAAAAGGATTTGAATCTCGGGATCCCAACCCCAGTTGGAATAGCTAAAAAACTCAAAAACGTTACTCCATTAGATACAAATACAGTATACGCCAAAATTGTTTTGTGAGCCGCACGGAATGTATCAGCATAACAGGGTTTGGACCACCCTGGTCTACCTTATCAAAAAACTCCCGACTTCGCTGACCACTAGATCGTTGAAATGCGATCGTGGAACCGCAACATAGTGTAAATAGTTCATTGGTCCAATTGTTGGAAAGAAATAAAAAAAATTTAAAACAATAAAGCAGCAACAAGGAGAATACTAGAAAGAAAAAACAACAACAATTTAAGAAAACGACTCATAGGCCCATTTCGTGTCCAATAAATAAGTTTCAGTTTTTAGTTTTAATAAAGAAGGTTAATATGATACTTAAAGACGAAAAATAACCGAACATTTTGAAGTTTGAGTCGTCTGGTGAACTCGTAATATTATGATAAACACCGATAAACTATTTAAAATTTTGCTCAAAAATTTCTGTGGTGCCTCTCTTTGCTTGGTGTACTAAGCACGTGCTTATATTGTTTAATCTTAATGGTTAATCCGGCGCTGAGTGTCTACCTCTATTGTCATACGTAATAGGCACTACGCAACAGAAAGTGAATAATATGGAAAGGTAAAATGAATTTATTGATTCATTTCATATATATACACAGCATTCAAAATAAGAAACAATGAAACATTTATAATAAATACCATATGCGCCCCCTTTGGGAAGCGATTCGTTACGAGATAAAGATTTAAACGCTGGATAGATCTTTCACTGACTTAAAATTCGACCTAAAATTTACAATATCTTTTTCAAGGCTTCTGGGTCTTATATTCCCACCGAGCTTTACGGTGACAATTTGCCTGGTGGACGGTTCGGAACAGCAATGACCAACGCCGGAGACTTGAATTTGGATGGGTATAACGACGTTATTATCGGTGCTCCGTTTGCTGAAGATGGCCGAGGCGCGGTTTTTGTGTATCATGGTACAGAGAAGGGATTGCGAGCAACGTATAGTCAGGTTTGTAGCATTACAATCGTTTTGTATCGAAATCATTTGTAGCATAATTTACCATTATCATCTTCTGTCACACAATAAAACGAATCCAAAGAGCTACCTAGAATATTCGAAATAAATAAAAGTAATAGTCTTCTAGTGAAAAATTGAATCCTTGAGCACTGAAAATTTTGAAGCAATTGGTCCAGTAATCAAAAAGAAAAGCTATTTTTTTCTGTGACAAAGAACAACGACAACATAATAACCAAACGATTGCTATGTCCACTAACGTGTCCAATTAACCTTTACCGATAGTATTTTGTATAGTATTTGCTCACATTTTAACTAATACACCAAGTTTGTTTAATAAATTAAATTGGGTTTCTAGTAGTTTGATACCAGGTCAAACTGTATTTATTATACAGTAATACAGGACAATACCAACCACATCCCTATTAAAATGTTTTCATTTTTTTTTCAGAAAATTCTTGCATCATCTCTATTTGATCCTACAATAAAATATTTTGGACAATCCATGCAAGGAAATATTGATATTGATAAAAATTCATATCCGGATATATTTGTTGGAGCACCAAAAAGTGATTCTATTGTTCTTTTGAGGTAATAATCAAATTTATTCACACACAACATTAGATAAAATATGACATAGGTCCTGGAAAAGTGAAGTATATGTTTAAAGCCTTTTTTGCTTTTACATTTTCAACATATATCGTCGTAATTCAGATCTCGGCCAATAGTAAATATTTGGGCAACAATACACTTTCAAACAACAAAGCTCGATATTATCAACTGCATCAGGAATAACTACAAAAACTGCTCTTCGATTGAAGTCTGTTTCACGGTAAACGGTACCTCAATCGAGTCGGAAATAGGTAATTTTGCTTAATGCAAAAGAAAATATTATTTTTTTGATAGTTCGAGTAAATGACAAGAAATCCCAATCGAGAATTTAAAGTTGATACCTGAAATACCAAATCGATGGCATTTCATTTGAAATTGCCAAGTGCACAATTATTTGAATTAAAATGTAAGCATCAATACAACGTTATAGACCTTTTTATCATCGTGTAGAATGTGGATGAAAACAATACAAAGGATTTTTGAAAGACGTTGTCCCATTGGAGAATTGTTGGACATCAATTTTATCCTGAATTCAAATTTATTTAAATTATTGTCTTTGTTGTCGCATAGGTATTGAATACAACTTGACGCTTGATATCGCGAAAACTACGGAGAGCGAAAAGAGACTTGAATTCGGATCAACCTCGTACAGTTCTGGTACAGGAACTACAAAATTAACGAAAAATACTACACTGCCTGTCGGGGAAACCAAGTGCTTTGTGCATGCATTCGATATGAGAGTATGTGTTAAGTATTAAAAATTGTTGAAATACCCTAATTTGGAAGAAACCTGATTTTATCAAATAGCATGCTCATGAATTTAATGCAGTTTGTTCACTCTCTACCTTTCTATTGATAGTTTTAATCTAACACTATTTTTGAGATTTGAAAAACTCAGTGTATTTATTCACTTTTATTTTGCTATACACACTGCTCAAAGTGACATCTTTTCATTTAATGTGTTTCTTTACTTTAATAATTTTCTCTCATTTATCAGAAAAATATCAGCGACTACGAATCTACCCTCGTTGCTGAGATTGAGTATGATCTACTTTCTTCTCATGTTGCCACATCAATGTCTTCTGTTAAAGATCCGTGAGTTGATTACAACATCATTCAACTGTTTGTGTTTTTGCGTAATTCTGTGATATTTACAGCCTTTAATTTCTTGGATTAGTAATAATCAAAACAACGGTTGACTTTTATCAATAAATATGAGATAAAATACTAAGCGAAGAAATGATTCTGGCCCGAGGTGTATGCGCTTCTCTTTTGAGTTCCTCGTTTCAATCTAGTTTTCGTAACTTTGACTGCTTAGTTATTCCAATTACTGATCTATAACCAGGCGAGAGACAGGTGCGCATATATGATTATATCGTTTCCTTCTCAACGGTCAAATACGAAAACTCCCGCCCTATCCTATGCAGTAGAACTTGCTTTCTCTTGTAACTTCGTATCTGCTTAATTAATTCTGTACAGATTACGGACCTATGAAAAGTCATCAGGAATGGGATTTCTGAAGCAATGCGGCGAAGAAGATATCTGCAATCATGATTTAAGAGTTGGAGTAGAAATGAATCTACCATCATTTCATATGTAAGCAGTCTGCAAAATATCTTTTAAATTTCTCGAAAACTTCCCAGTCATTTCGATTGAAATATAAAAAGAACAATTTCCTCGAAGGAATCTTCAGTTTAAAATTGGTTTTCCGCAAGTATGCTATATGCAAATGTCCAAAAGTTTTTCTAAATGAACTAAGTAAGTCTTGACTAGGATAATATCAACAATAATTTTCATCCTATAGAAATTCAGCCAATAGCTCAAAAATAATTAGGTACTAAGCAACAAATAGTTTGGTAATAGCGCGCAAAAATAAGACAGCATTCTCATATATTGCATTATTTTCAGAGATGGCAAAGATTACTCTGAAAATGGTCAAATCCTTATAATTGATTCTTCAACCACTTCACAAGCAATCATCGTTCGTGTGAACTTTACAAACGTGGGGGAGAATGCATTCGGCACAAAACTGAATGTGTCTTATTCTTCGAAAATTAGTTTGAGTACGGTAAGTTGAGTTGAGTACGGTTTTTCTACTTATCGTTTTTTCGTTAGCTACTGGACTAATTGCTCTGAAATTATCAGTAGTTTAAGTTGTGTTTTTCGCTAGACGGTCATGACCTTTTATTTATTTCAAAAAATTCTGTGGCTCTATGGCATTCGTTTTTTGTGCGATGGCGTCATAAAGAATTGCGCACCCTGTGGCGGTTCCACGATCGCGTTATTCGTAGACACTGCCATACCAGTTGTCTGATGTACCAGATTACATACTCCTTTATATTGCGTACTACATCGTTTTAGACTTCGTGGCTATATATTTAGGCATCGCTCTCTTGTTCCTATAAAACAAGGATACACTTTTTATTTCTTAAATCGTATTTGAACGAATAATATACCGCAGATTTAAAAACAAAACAAAGTGTTCATATACTATAGGAACAGTAATGGCCAAGTCAATATTCACTATATATGTATCTATTCACATACATAGTTCTCCCTTTAATCCATGTTTATATTTCATTCAAGTGTTTTATACCGTTTTACTGTTTCAGATTTTCAACTCCATATCATACCCGGAACTGCCATCATGTGTTGTAGAATATGGTATTCCACTTCATGCTGAAGATGGTTTTACGACAAAAACATTCAAATATAATTCGCAGGAAAACATCATGATTCCTGAAGCTTGGGTAAGTGTTTACATATACAGCACAAGGATAAAAAGTATAAGTAGAAGTTTGAGTTGAGTATTGAGAAAAAAAAAATGAAGCAATATATGGAATTCAAGAAATTAATCATAAACGATCATTTTTCATTTTATTTTTAGTGTTATTTCGAGTTCAACATAATCGCTTCTAGTTTAAAAAGAACTGGAAATATGGACGCGTTTATAATTAACATAACGACTTATGCAAGGTGAGACAGAAAATCGTATTTTATTTTTTTTAAAGTTATTTATTAAATTAAAATAACTAACGTTACTACTAAATACTTTTAATACGAAGCTTGAATTCGTCGACGGAAAACAACACTTTAGACAACAGTTGGGAAAAATCGCCTGCCATCAAGTACAGATCAGATTTCAATTTAAGGAGGTACTTCATCCTATTTTTACGAGTTTTTGCTGATTAATAATAATTAAGTTGATATCATTACGAGTCTATGATTATACTTAACTTTCGCATCTTTCTACAGAGAAAGCAGCAATCCTGAAATATCATTCAACTATACGACAACGACTAAAAACATAACTACTGTAGATGAGATATCAGAAGGAATTTCAGTCATCGAAATGGCTTTCAGAGTAAGAATAACACATATTTAACACGCTGTTTATTTGAAGACAGGTGAAATATTTGCAGCACAGTAAACTTATGGTGCACTCTTCATTAACCTTTTTGTATCCCGGAAGGGTGTTTTTGAATATGTGTAAGCGATAATCAAATTCTTAGTCAAAATTAGGAATGTAGGCTATATACATTATTTATTTAAATTTAATTTGAAGATTCGGTTAATATACTTTTTTATATGCGAGTTCTTAATAAAGATGCAGACTATACATTTTTCTTACCAGATTACCGGTGCTGGTTACAGCAACATTCCATCATCGCAAATATCACTAACCTGGCCGTCGAAATATGCTGGCGCACCTCTTCTTTATTTATATCAGGTTTCGTGTAACTCTGAATTTGCAGCTGGAGTCGACAATCCAGTAAGATATTTATTTACATTTAATGTAGCTGAACTTTACATAATTTATAAAGTCTGTGTGAAAACATTACCTTTTATGAGCTTATTCGAAATATGAAACAATACGCTGCGATGCCCTTGGCAAAATGGGACTGACTGGGGCTCGAAGCTACTGGTGGCGCAACAATCACTCATCAATAGCCAGATAAGTGAATAAAATAAAAGATTATGATATTGGTGTTTTATTTTTCAATGTTACAGACAACTTGCATTTGTGAACAGTCTAATATCAATTCATACGATCTCGTCATGGATACAGAAACTGACAACTCAACAAAAGGATACGCCACCTTATCTCCACCGGATGTTGCGATCAATGTTTCAGAAATGGTAAGCAGAAAAGGGGAAAATTTTCAGAATTCTGTGATGCCCCGTACAGAGTAGATGCTTGATTTACATTTCAAATTGCTGTTCTGTCTTCGTCGTGTTAGAATAAAGACTATATCACAAACTAAACAATAACTAACCTAACGGTACATGACTAGATTAGGATGTACATATTTATCTACGGGGAGATGGGAGTCGATAAGACTGCTTAGTCATATGTCATACCACGGCCTATCGTCCGGTCATTAGTCCATTCTCTAATTATCACGACATACCGAGAATATCAGGATTTCCACCACTAATTTGAGGTTGTTCCAAACATTCTCCTTTAATTACTAACCTAATTTATGACGTTTTACCACCAGAACTGCAAAGATTTTGAACCAGGTCACTCCTGCGATTCCTTGATTTGTAACGTTGCAAATATTGGAGAATCGGACAAAATCAATTTCTACGCGAAATTCAGACTTTGGTCGTCAAGTATTACGTTTGAAGGAACAGTAAGCAAATTTACAAACTTTGTTTTCATTTACGTTTGCGCTTTGGTGGTTCGTATACTAGTCAGCTGTATGCTGGTCTAACCTCCTGTTGATGGAAGGATGGTAGGGGTGAGTGATGGTGCGCAAGACCGACATAATAAAAACAAGAGAGAATCTTAAATAGGTACACTAAGGTCAAATGTCATAAAAAAATGTTTCATGAATTGAGTTTAAAAAAAAAGCAAATTTTGGAGTGAGTTCCCGTGTATGCAATTGTGAATGGCTGTAAAAGTTTTTAAATATTCCTTCGGCAATTGAATTCATATTCAAACATAGCAATTTCCTATTCAATCTTGAAACGAAAGTAATCAAGTATATAATATATCTAAATACTTGCAACATCAAATTGTCCTGCAGAATTTTAATTTCCGTTTTACGCTTATCATGATGTTGAATCAAAACCGTTATTATCCCTACTATATTTAAATAAAACTACAGAATCAGACTCAAGTTGATCTGCAGACTTTATTTGAGATTTCAACTACTGGTTCACCTCTTATAATAAATAGCGAAGGAAGAAACGTTACCATCAAGACAGAAAAGGTACATTTACATATATATTCATTTTTTCAATTAGACTTATGTGCTATCGTGAGGGGATAGCGAAATGTAAACGTTGCAGTTGATTAGCCACCTCGTCATGGAAAATGTAATAAATTTTATTGGAATAGATAAATTCGTATGTTTCTGTGAAAATTATTGAGGATGCTATTATATATAGTTTAAAAAAGTGTTCATATGTACTATACATGTACATATACATGTATGTACTATTCTTACAATTTGATTGGATTTTTGTCTAAAACAAAAAGTAAAACTAAATTGAGAAAATTATATCTAGCCCTACGCCCTTCTTATTCTTTCTCTTCATTTCGCATGTTTAATTACTGTTAAAAAAAAAATAGGATCCGAATTATAATGTGATATTCCTTTTTCTTGTTATTTATTATTTAGTACTTTTTGGGGAATTGATTTTTGAGGCTTCCTAAAACCGAGCTTACAACTCAAAAATTTATTTTATTCCTACTGCAATTGTGACGCCTGCTCTAGAGTTTCCTGTCCTGGTAGAAACTCCCATCAGGGGTTGGTCGACTTTGGAAAATTGCCCGACGCCTTTCGATTATATTTCATGAATATTGTTGTTTGTTTATATTTACTGCATTTTGTACTTGTATGTAATGAAATGTTTATGTATAAATCATTATTTAACATTCCTATCTTTTCAAAGCACGATGGTCATTATTAGTCACTGCACATACAAAGCTTTGTTTTACGAAGATTTGAAATTCCTCATAAATCCATGCCAATATAGTAGTTTAGTAAATTTCTGAACAGTTTTACCGATAATTATTTTATAGTGTATCAGATGAACTAATTTGCCGTGTGTTTTTACGAAAACTGCGAAACATAGAGTTCATTCTGAATGTATTTAGATAACGACAGTAGTCAAGAAATACATTGCTATCGAAATACCGGAACAACAAAACGTCATATGGTATTATATTGTTGCTGCAGCTGGGGGAGTTCTGCTACTCATCCTTATTGTTCTTCTGCTATGGAAGGTATAGTGAAAACCTCTTCTTTGATTATCATTTACCAGCGGTGTATACTACTAAAATAAAAACGTACAACGAGAGAATTATTGTGAGAATTTTAGAAATTTGTTTTACCTACATTTGGAAAAAATTTACAGATTATTTTCAGTTCACCTCATTATTGTTGTGAAATAATTCCATTTAAATTTAATCTGTGTATGCCCTAAAAATTAGAAGGGAATATGAAATTTTGAATACCTTGCCAACTAATGAAAAATAGCTTTAGAATTTCATGCATTTTCAATGTGTTATAGCAGATAATACTGAATTTCTATTTTTCGATTTTCGACTATTTTTCCATAAATATATCTAGATTTCTGCATGTAATAAAAATAAACTATTATACTAGTTTGAAATTCACATGTCAATTTAATTCTGTCATTCGTGGAATTTCCCTTAAATATTATATAACAATAGTAGTAATGATAATTTACTGGGAACTAGTCAAATCGCGCCATATACGAAAAAATATTCTGTGAAACTTCTTTTAAAAAGAACGGTATTGTGATAACATTTATTGAGTTACTTATATGCTCAGCAAGATAAAATATATTTATTACAAAAATTACTTTTTACAGGTTTGATTTTCATTTGAAAAGTCCTAATAAGTTGGGATATACTATTTACTGCTTGCCAACTCACAACAGACGTCTAATTGTTATAGAAAATTTTTGAACAAGCGTGGTCTTGTTGTGTCCTCCGCAATATAATGCGTCGTAGAATTTTTACGATGAGAATAGACGTAGATTGTCCGTTCCTGTTATTTCGTAACTTCAATTTTCGCAACCTAATTATCAGAAATCAAATGAGCAATCTTTCTTGCTTTAACGGATAAATTATTGACTCGTGTTTAATTTATATTAATTATATATAACTAATAACTGAATTTTACTTACTTTAAATTACCCAGTGCGGATTCTTCAGAAGCAAATACGCTGAAAAGCAGAAAACAGAGGAAGATAAACTCGCCGATGAAACAGATTTTCCGGATGTGGACGCTGGCAAAGAGTTTACTATGGGGTCCAATTTTAATGGAGTAAACGGCAGTGGGTTGAATTCCCCTGATTCTGCAGCATATGAGAATCAAAACTTCAATGATGCAACGCTGTCTGTAGATCCGAGTCCTCGAAAGTAGTCACCGTTGGACCAAGTTTCGATTGGGAGCAAAAAAGCATGAGTTAGGTTCGCTCATGAATAATATGTTGTTGATAGGCAAAATGTGTTCTCAAAAATAATATTTTCTCTCGGTTTCAGCATTCAAATTGGGAATTTCACGTTAAGTTCAAACGGATACTTATATAAATGTCTGGTATTAATTTATACTTACTAGAAAAGCTATCAAATTGAAGAATCTTCAATTTAATAGTTGTATGATTTAATTCATACCACCGGTTTTTGTACTTCAATTCCTCATAAAATACGTATCTTCCGTTCACAAATATCACTATTTCATTTTGTGTGATAACGCAATCACTTGCCATTAACCACTGTACTTTGTACGTCTATCAATTTTTGTTTAATATCTTTAGTATATGATCTATCGTACTCTGTTTTTCATTTCACGCTTTATTTGGCTAATGATAACGATTGTTTAAATTTCGTTGGGCGTTACCAGTAAATAATATATATGCATATAATCAAATACGTGGTTATATGAATTTTCCTTATTAATTTATTATATATACTTGCCTTATACTTTCATGCTTCTTTAAAGCTCATACTTAAAAGTGCAAACACAATTCAACTGCATGGTATTGAAAGATCAAGACGTATTATACGACGATATATTCACTGTCTTTATATTCGTTTATACATTTTTTTGTTTGTGACATATTGCGAATCGTTTTTCAATATTCAAAATCCTCTATTCCGAGATGTACTTCGAGCTAAATCCTTTTTTAACTGAACCCCTACTTGGTCCAAGAAGATCAAGCCGTAGTATATTATGACTGTCTTTACATTCGTTTATATTTTTGTTTGTAACATATTGCAAATCGTTTCACTATATTCAAACATCCTCTAATCCTAATTAGTCCTTTCTACTTCTGTATTATGAAATATATAAATAATACTACAAACTCAATTTTGCTTGTAATTAACGAAGTGTACCATGAAAGGCTATCTGGGACTGAGAGCTGCTAAAATTACATTTGTTACGCCACGGTAGACATCTTGCTGATTAGCAGGCTTACCATTAGAGATGTACCGATGTATCGGTATCGGTATCGGCTACATTTAGACCGATATTTTCGATATATTTAGCTTCTCAATATCAGAATGCTTTAAAAATAGGTTAGAATAATAATCTTGAAATAGTTTTTTGCTTGCATAGATCGTGAACTATGAGCCATGCACGTCCCCACCTCCGCTTGTAAAAACGGAAATCGGATTCTGACATGTTTTAGACATTTATTAGCCAAACTGGCTCAATCAATTTGAGTGTTTTCGCTGCCAAATTTATATATATATTACAATTTTCAATATTACATGGTAATTATGAAGAAATATATCAATCGAATATTAGTGGATGTTCCGATGCGTAAAATATAAGATATGACGTTATATTGGCACAAAATCCTGCTCACGTAACTTAATGTATCAGTTTCATACGATATGTAGGCGAAACATTTATTTATTTTACCACCAACAGTAGCCGAATTCTATTAGTTTTCTAATTGAACACCGAAATTACTAGCGCCAATACTCAGTTCATTTGAATTGATTAACGCATTTGGATCCCAAACATCTACTTCTTAATATAGTGTGCATAATATAGTAATATATATATATATATATATATATATGTGATATATTACTCTTTTCTGATCCGAAATAATATGCACTATTAATAAAGCCCAAAGACTATTGTTTTAAACCGTCTGCCCTGCACATAATTAATAATTACATAGTATTGGTATCGGAATATCGGCAGTATCGGTCGTTTTTTATTATCGGCGTATCGGCATCGACCGTTTTAGCTGGTATCGGATCAGTATCGGTATCGGCGACAAAAGTGGTATCGGTACATCTCTATTACCATACGTCCCAGAGGCAGCGAGGATGGTTTTAAATGTAGGCCCCTAATGTGAAAACCCATGGGTTAGGGTTAGTATGGGTTAAAATATCCGCAAAACAAATAAAATTTCCATAAATGCTAATGCGAAATCGGTGAATTAATAGTTGTTAAAATCACAGCTATGGTCTTCGGAGGCGTCCCGCTTTGAGGTGACAAAAACATGGTAACTCTACGTCACTGTGACGTTGTGATGACATAATTTTTGGATGGTGTAGTCAGGTGAGGGTTAGGATTGATACGTGTAAAAATTGTCATGCTACGCCCACTAGAAGTATGTTAGGTAAGAAAGGACAACACTGAAAGGCTGGAGGACGAAACGGATGAAGTGGAAGAAAAACGGAAGTTGAAGTGTTCCCAAAAGTGAAATATTAAAAAACACTGCAAGGCTGAACACTAAAAAGAAAAAGAAGAAGCGGATGAAATTTCTTCCGACGGGTGGGGAGATGGCTGAAGTCACTAAAAAGCTAAACACTAAAAGGAAGAGGTGGATGAAATTTTTTCCGACGAATAATGAGGTGGTTGAAGTCACTAAAAAGCTGAACACTAAAAGGAAGAAGTGGATGAAATTTCTTCCGACGAATAATGAGGTGGTTGAAGTCACTAAAAAGATGAACACTAAAAGGAAGAAGTGGATAAAAAAATTTTCCGACGAATGGTGGTTGAAGTCACTAAAAAGCTGAACACTAAAAGGAAGAAGTGGATGAAATTTCTTCCGACGAATAATGAGGTGGTTGAAGTCACTAAAAAAATGAACACTAAATTGAAGAAGTGGATAAAATTTCTCCCGACGAATATTGAGGTGGTTGAAGTCACTAAAAAAATGAATACTAAAAGGAAGAAATGGATAAAACTTCTACCGACGAATAATGAGGTGGTTGAAGTCACTAAAAAAATGAACACTAAATTGAAGAAGTGGATGAAATTTCTTCCGGCAAATATTGAGGTGGTTTAAGTCACTAAACAGCTGAACACTAAATGGAAGAAGTGGATAAAATTTCTTCCGACGGGTGGGGAGATGGCTGAAGTCACTGAAAAGCTAAACACTAAAAGGAAGAGGTGGATGAAATTTTTTCCGACGAATACTGAGGTGGTTGAAGTCACTAAAAAGCTGAACACTAAAAGGAAGAAGTGGATAAAATTTCTTCCGACGAATACTGAGGTGGTTGAAGTCACTAAAAAAATGAACACTAAAAGGAAGAAGTGGATGAAATTTCTTCCGACGAGTAATGAGGTGGTTGAAGTCACTAAAAAAATGAACACTAAATTGAAGAAGTGGATAAAATTTCTTCCGACGAATAATGAGGTGGTTGAAGTCACTAAAAAAATGAACACTAAATTGAAGAAGTGGATGAAATTTCTTCCGACGAATAATGAGGTGGTTGAAGTCACTAAAAAAATGAACACTAAAAGGAAGAAGTGGATAAAATTTCTACCGACGAATAATGAGGTGGTTGAAGTCACTAAAAAAATGAACACTAAATTGAAGAAGTGGATGAAATTTCTACCGGCGAATATTGAGGTGGTTTAAGTCACTAAACAGCTGAACACTAAAAGGAATAAGTGGATAAAATTTCTTCCGACGGGTGTTGAGGTGGTTGAGGTCACTTAAAAGCTGAACACTAAAAGGAAGAAGTGGATGAAATTTTTTCCGACGAATAATGAGGTGGTTGAAGTCACTAAAAAGATGAACGCTAAAAGGAAGAAGTGGATAAAATTTCTTCCGACGGGTGTTGAGGTGGTTGAGGTCACTAAAAAGCTGAACACTAAAAGGAAGAAGTGGATGAAATTTCTTCCGAAGGGTGTTGAGGTGGCTGAGGTCACTAAAAAGCTGAACACTAAAAGGAAGAAGTAGATCCAATTTCTTCCGACGGATAGTGAGGAATACTTAAAATTTAATATATTAGGAATTGGTTAATTTAATGTTTGTTCTGTTCGTATTTATGAGACAATGTCCTCGTGGATTCGTTTTTTGTTAATTTTTTTTTATATGTTATGCTCATTTCGAGCCTGGTAAATATTGAAGGCCATGACATTTTCGTTATATTCCTTTTAATTTTGATGTAATGTGAAAGCAAATTGCTATATATATATATATATTCATATCTAGCTGTTCCTGTGGTATAATGGGGTGTTGCGCCACAATGGGTGGGTTACGGCGAGGCATGTTTTGCAAATAGATAGGGTTTTGTTTTTTTATCAATTCTAAAAAACAGGGCTTGTTTTAAATCAAATTTTTTCTGTATTTTTTGTACTTTTTATTGAAATATCCCTTGCATCGCCGCGAAACTACGCCAAAACGTTACATTCTGCTACAACCGGAATTATAATTTCAAAAATGTAAGTAAAATTGTTTATTTTGACTTTTACTTCTATTGCGTACATTTATTGCCACGTTTGTATCTCCACCAAAGTCATAAGATTTTACCCGGAATGTTTAGCTGAGACATCAGAGGGACGTTTTGAGTAAGAAAAATCATAAAAAATAGCTCACGAGCCTCCTACAAAAGCGATTAGATCAAGTGCAGTCCTTCGGCAAAACGAGTGGGTTGCGATAATGAAGTATATGCTTATATCGGCGGTAATTCACTGATATAAACAATGAGACACCCTAGCCTAGCTTTTGTCAATTGTAAGAGTCCTCTGATGCAAAGACGCCACAACTAATGGGTTATGACGCCATAATATGAATTTCGAGTTCATGTATTGACATTATTCTCATACAATGATGGCAATATAATGGGTAATACTGTTCGGTTAATTTATGCTTAGCATACTTTGTTTTTATGGTCGAAGTGATATGGTTTTTCAAGGTTATACAAACTCATTTATTCGATCGCATTTCAATTTTCGCAAGGTGGTTTCATCGCAGCAGGGTCAATTTTTCAATTTTCAGTTTTTTCAATTTTTCCAAACAACAAACCTTGTAATTTATAATATGTTTGTTTGTGGCCCACAGCAAAATGGCTCTGAGGCTTACCAGTCGGCCATGGCCCATTGGTTGAGAATCAGTGGTCTAACAGGACTTCAATTTGACTAATACATCATTATTCAAAGTCTTTGTGCGTGAACTGCTTGCAAAATTCATAAAAACAGATATTAAGTTTAAGGAATGAAATACGGAATCAATACGGCATCAAAAATTAATTATATTCGGGCACAATACCACGGCAATCTATGTACATAAATGTGTGGTCAACTGCGCGATTATTATTAATTTTTGATTCCTATTTTTGTATTTATAAAATAATAAAAGATAAATAGTTTGGATAATGGTTGGTATTTAAAAGTATGGATTTAAAAAAGATCAAAATAATAAATTCATTTCAGATTTTTTATCTCCAAGATATTAGTACAATAATTTGTAACTTTGGATTATACATAAAGGAGAACTTTGTACACACAGATCTTTGTCATCTCTGTGATATATGGGTTCATTGTTGCGATAGAGCTTGCTAAACAAGGAGATACTGAGCATATATTTATGCTAGCAGCATAGTGTAATAGGACAAATACATTTTAATTGCATCTGGATTACAATAAATAAGAAAGGCTTTCAGGAATTTGCTTGAACACAAAAAAGTAATTAACCCATTTAAAATAAACCTCCAACCGAAAACGACTGCGAAAAAATAAAAATATTCATATAAATATCAAAGACACTAATACTTTTTGGCTAAAACTGTTATTACCAAACTCGGGCTTTATTATTATCTTGAATTATGTTTAATTTTGGAATTCCGAAAGTCCAAATGCACATAATAGACGCGGTGCTGACGAGGGATAATTGGTCGACGCTGTATCTCGATCAAACACGGTCGTTGGAGTTAAAGTAAGACGACATTTGCATATTAGGCTCGGCCGGGTATGAAATCTGGCGCGTGTTAATGTAAGACAGTGCACAAGTTGCTATTCCCCAAGTATTATCTACTTCCATATGTGCGTTCTGATAATTGCTGGAAATAATCGAAATGTTTTATTCCCCGCTTGTATCGCGCTAATTAGGAGAAAATACTATATTTCTTTTATGATTACTGCTACAAGAAGTGTTCTACCACGTGTTCCCTCATTTCGTTTACCGCCACTCAAGTGGAGGTACAACAAATGAGAATGAAATAGCATAAATATAAATGTCAGGATAAAAAACATGATCGTCAATTAACATGCCAGGCAAATGAACTTTTTCAGTAATAGTTCTCTTCAAATATATACGCGAAATATTTCACTCTCAAGGGAGTATAAATTAAATTTCAATCAAAATTAAATGTTTTCTAGAAGTCGGTATCTAATCGTTTATCAATTCATGTCAAGGCGTACCATAACTTAGTCGCAGAGAAGGTAACAAAATTGCAACGAACTTTCGGGTATACGATCCATTTAAATTTGCGTGTGATAGAAACTTAGGTCATTCAGTGGAATACTCAACTGACTTATTGAAGGAAATTAATTACCCACACAGCACGTCAGCATCTCTAGTGATGATCTGTTGCGCTGCGAATGTTGCGCTGAACTTGAAAATAAATTAAGGTAGATCAATAAAAGTAAATAACCAAAAATTCATTTACATTCCCGTCTGGCAATCGGTGTTATTTGGAGTGTTTGTTTTTCTTCGCTAAACGGCGCTCTTTCTTTCGAATCGCGTAAATCAGATTCAAAAAATTTGCGATTTGAATCGATTCAATTCATAAATCTAAAATAGGCATGCCTACAAATCAGTCCGCTTTCAGGGTCTTCATCCAATCTCACTTCCGTCGGGATATGTTTTAGCTATTTAACTTTCGTAATATTCGGTATTTAAGTGACTTCAACCGCCTCAAAATCGATAGGACAAAATATCATCTACCGTACTTCTTCCTTTTAGTGTTTAGTTTTTTAGTGACCTCAGCCACCTCACCACCCGTCGGAAGAAATTCCGTCCACTTCTTCCTTTCAGTGTTCAGCTTTTCAGTGACCTCCGCCACCTCATTATTCGTTGGATGAAATTTCATCCACTTCTTCCTTTTAGTGTTCAACTTTTTAGTGACTTCAACCAACTCATTATTTGTCGGAAAAAATTTCATCCACTTCTTCCTTTTAGTGTTCAGCTTTTTAGTGACTTCAACCACCTCATTATTCGTCGGAAAAAATTTCAACCACTTCTTCCTTTTAGTGTTCAGCTTTTCAGTGACTTCCGCCAACTCATTAATCGTCGGAAGAAATTTCATCCACTTCTTCCTTTTAGTGTTCAGCTTTTCAGTGACCTCCGCCACCTTATTATTCGTCGGAAGAAATTTCATCCACTTCTTCCTTTTAGTGTTCAATTTTTTAGTGACTTCAACCATCTCATTATTTGTCGGAAGAAATTTCATCCACTTCTTCCTTTTAGTGTTCAACTTTTTAGTGACTTCAACCACCTAATTATTCGTCGGAAGAAAATTTCATCATTTCTTCCTTTAGTGCTCACTTTCAGTGACTTCAACCACCTCATTATCGTCGAAGAAATTTCATCCACTTCTTACTTTTAGTGGTCAGCTTTTTAGTTGACTTCAACCACCTCATTATTCGTCGGAAGAAAATTTCATCCACTTCTTACTTTTAGTGTTCAGATTTTAGTGACTTCAACCACCCTCAGTATTCGTCGAAGAAATTTTATCCACTTCTTACTTTTAGTGTTCAGCTTTTTAGTGACTTCAACCACCTCAGTATTCGTCGGAAGAAATTTTATCCACTTCTTACTTTCAGTGTTCAGCTTTTTAGTGACTTCAACCACCTCATTATTCGTCGGAAGAAATTTCATCCACTTCTTAATTTTAGTGTTCAGCTTTTTTAGTGACTTCAACCACCTCAGTATTCGTCGGAAGAAATTTTCATCCACTTCTTCACTTTTAGTGTTCAGCTTTTTAGTGACTTCAACCACCTCATTATTCGTCGGAAGAACTTTCATCCACTTCTTACTTTTAGTGTTCAGCTTTTTAGTGACTTCAACCACCTCAGTATTCGTCGGAAGAAATTTTATCCACTTCTTACTTTTAGTTTTCAGCTTTTTAGTGACTTCAACCACCTCATTATTCTCGGAAGAATTTATCCACTTCTTCCTTTTAGTGTTCAGCTTTTTAATGACTTCAACCACCTCATTATTCGTCGGAAGAAATTTCATCCACTTCTTCCTTTTAGTGTTCAGCTTTTTAGTGACTTCAACCACCTCATTATTCACCGAAGGAAATTTTATCCACTTCTTCCTTTTAGTGTTCAGCTTTTTAGTGACTTCAACCATCCTCATTATTCGTCGGAAGGAAATTTATCCACTTCTTCCTTTTGTGTTCAGCTTTTTAGAGACTTCAACCATCTATTATCAGTCGAAGAAATTTCATCCAACTTCTTCCTTTTAGTGTTCAGCTTTTTAGTGACTTCAACCACCTCATTATTCGTCGCAAGAAATTTCATCCACTTCTTCCTTTTAGTGTTCAGCTTTTTAGAGACTTCAACTTCAACTCATTATTCGTCGGAAGAAATTTCATCCACTTCTTCCTTTTCGTGTTCAGCTTTTTAGAAACTTCAACCATCTCATTATTCGTCGGAAGAAATTCTATCCACTTCTTCCTTTTAGTGTTCAGCTTTTTAGAGACTTCAACCATCTCATTATTCGTCGGAGGAAATTACATCCACTTCTTCCTTTTAGTGTTCGCTTTTAGTGACTTCAACCACCTCATTATTCGTCGGAAGAAATTCATCCACTTCTTCCTTTTAGTGTTCAGCTTTTTAGAGACTTCAACCATCTCATTATTCGTCGGAAGAAATTTCATCCACTTCTTCCTTTTAGTGTTCAGCTTTTTAGAGACTTCAACCATCTCATTATTCGTCGGAAGAAATTTCATCCACTTCTTCCTTTTAGTGTTCAGCTTTTTAGTGACTTCAACCACCTCATTATTCGTCGGAAGAAATTTCATCCACTTCTTCCTTTTAGTGTTCAGCTTTTTAGTGACTTCAACCACCTCATTATTCGTCGGAAGAAATTTCATCCACTTCTTCCTTTTAGTGTTCAGCTTTTTAGTGACTTCAACCACCTCATTATTCGTCGGAAGAAATTTCATCCACTTCTTCCTTTTAGTGTTCAGCTTTTTAGTGACTTCAACCACCTCATTATTCGTCGGAAGAAATTTCATCCACTTCTTCCTTTTAGTGTTCAGCTTTTTAGTGACTTCAACCACCTCATTATTCGTCGGAAGAAATTTCATCCACTTCTTCCTTTTAGTGTTCAGCTTTTTAGTGACTTCAACCACCTCATTATTCGTCGGAAGAAATTTCATCCACTTCTTCCTTTTAGTGTTCAGCTTTTTAGTGACTTCAACCACCTCATTATTCGTCGGAAGAAATTTCATCCACTTCTTCCTTTTAGTGCTCAGCTTTTTAGTGACTTCAACCACCTCATTATTCGTCGGAAGAAATTTCAATCATTTCTTCCTTTTAGTGTTCAGCTTCTTAGTGACTTCAACCACCTCATTATTCGTCGGAAGAAATTTCAACCATTTCTTCCTTTTAGTGCTCAGCTTTTTAGTGACTTCAACCACCTCATTATTCGTCGAAGAAATTTCATCCACTTCTTCCTTTTAGTGTTCAGCTTTTTAGTGACTTCAACCACCTCATTATTCGTCGGAAGAAATTTCATCCACTTCTTCCTTTTAGTGTTCAGCTTTTTAGTGACTTCAACCACCTCATTATTCGTCGAAGAAATTTCATCCACTTCCTCCTTTTAGTGTTCAGCTTTTTAGTGACTTCAACCACCTCATTATTCGTCGGAAGAAATTTCATCCACTTCTTCCTTTTAGTGTTCAGCTTTTTAGTGACTTCAGACACCTCACCACCCGTCAGAAGAAATTTCATCCACTTCTTCCTTTTAGTGTTCAGCTTTTTAGTGACTTCAACCACCTCATTATTCGTCGGAAGAAATTTCATCCACTTCTTCCTTTTAGTGTTCAGCTTTTTGATGACTTCAGACACCTCACCACCCGTCAGAAGAAATTTCATCCACTTTTAGTGCTTTTCAATTTTTCACCTTTGGGAACACTTCAACTTCCGTTTTTCCTCCACTTCATCCATTTCTTCCTTCAGCCTTTTAGTGTTGTCCGGTACGGTAAGAAACTACACGAGACCCCTTCCTGTCTTCTGATATTACAGTCTCATATTTTTGAAGCTAAAAACCAAAATATGTCAGTACTGCAGTAGCCTATGTATATCTGTAGGTATAGTGTATGATCTCCATAGACAGATAGACTTGAGGCTACACAAAAACAAAATGTTTTCTTGTGGTGATAAAATTTTATTTCGGCCTAATCTTACACTTGGCTCCAAAATTACACTTTGTTTTGACTTTGACAAAAATATGGTACAGCGTTATACTGCTGTACTGGTATACAGTCTAACAGTTATAACCAACAGTTTTATTCTACAGTTCTGACTTGCAATAGAACTGACTTTACAGGATATGTCTGTATGTGAAGATTCTAAATACATAACTTTCTAAGAACAGAGTAAGACATAGCCTATAACTGTATATTACTATAAGCTTTATTCTGCTATTGCTGTATTGGAATTTACTTCTGTACTTGGATAATTTTTTTGTTGGTATGGTATCGTACCATACTTTTGGAGATTATACCAAAACTTGAAGGAGTATTTAACAAAGTACCGTACTGCAATGGAAGATCGCGATGATGAAAGAAGTAGTGGTAGTAGTTCTCAGATGCTGGATGTAGACTTTAAAATGCTGAATTCGAGAAATGTGACGAACTCGCCTGGTAGTACCCATTCTAATGCTAGCCTATCTTCAGGTAGGGTAATTTTCTTTTGTTTCTGCAATGCATTTCAGGCCACTTTTTATGAAAAAGATTGCGTTTTTTGCACTTAATTGCATTTGGCGCAGTGGTGTGGCTCATCGTGCTAAGCGCGAAGCGTTAGGAATACGCTCGCCACCGCACCTCTAATTACTCTGCGTGGGTTCGCAGGTTCGAATCCCATGCGAGAGGATTGCTGGACTCCTCACCGTCGTAGGGTAGTTCACGTAACCGCTGGTCGGTTACGGCTTCCTCCACCATCAAGTCCATGCTTCGGAAAAACAAATAACTAACTAATCCCATACCCGACTTGGAAAGGTAACCGGACGTGGTTCGCCATATGGTTAAGCTGTATTATCGTCTTTCCTCTCCCCCGGGATAAATATGTAAAATCTCTCTCTCTCATTTTGGTATTGAATACTGGAAATTATAGGAATGTATAGCAGTGTTCTTCAAAAATTTTCGAGTACCACCCACTTGGCATGGCCAAATCTTTCTCGCATTCACCAGGAACTAAAATAAAAGTAAAGTCAGAAAGTGAAATTTCAGTATTTAATAATTCTGCGAAAAAAATATTAGGAGAATAACAATACCTTGAGTCCAATGTGCTTATATATTCTTGCACAAAAGATCTAAGGAAATCTTCCTTCTATTTTAGTGATGGGGTATCTACTTGTTCAAAATCTTTCAAATTTGATTGATATTTCGTTTTAACACGAGTTGGTGTCTAAAAAGAGTTTACCACAACCCCCATTAAGCCCTTTTGCAACCCACAGGTTATATTCTTTGTCAATAATGACTCAATAAAATTGAATATCCTTATTCCAGTCATATACTTCACAGGTTTTAATTAAGTTCCGACGTTGTTAAGTGAAATTTGAGAATGCAACTCGTAGTTGATTGAAATTTAGTTGAAGTTTGCTTATACCTTATCCTAAAATGTATTATATGTTTTTGATTTGGCCATTGATTTGGTATAATCGGGCTATTTTTATTATACTGAATTATATGCAATATTGAACTGGTGTTTTTGATTCCAATAGCTCCTATGTTTAATGGGAAAACTGTGGCCTGGCATGACATTCTATTATCCATCCTTAATAAAAGCAGCTTCTCATGCTCACAATATAATCCAATAGTTAAAATAACATTTTTATTCTATTTATGCCAATTTAGTTAGTTTACTTTACTCTCAATAGATAGATAATTGAGGTACTAGGCTACTTGTCATCGAATAATAGATAAATCCGTTTGTGTAATGGCGACTGTTTTCTTTGCCATCCAAGTACATAAATACGGGATGATTAAGTGGTTAGGTATTCTTTTACCCGACCTATACTGGAAATTTTTCAAAAGTTCGGAGTTGTTCATAGTTTTGAGCTTCTTTTTCTCTTCTTTTCTCTGTTATAATCAGGGCGAGGAAGTCAGAACCATGGAGCAATGACAGTTTGGTGGAGCTGGAGCCCAGCTCACCATATTAGTTTGAGCTGGAGCTACCAGAAATTTTAGTGGCTCTGGCTCCTAAACATCTATTTATTTTTTGACATTTCTGATTTTCGGATATCTAATGTGAATAATAAAATCTATTCCTTCAAGATTATGAATGCAATGCGATGAAAGTTTAAAGATAAATTTATATATTTTTAAAATTTTAGTTTCATGTCTCAAGCTCAAAAAACTTAATGGCTTTACCGCTTTAGCCTATAGAGCGGGAAACCGAACCCTCGGCATAGAAAAATGAAAGTTTTGAGTTAAAAGCCACAGTTTGAATAGGCTATAGCATGATTTCGAACAGCTTCTTAGCCCTGGTTATAATGAAGTTATATTTGTAAATTATAGGCTTTTCTTAGTCATTATATAATGATCTAGTAGGTGGGTGTATCTTGACCCTAATATGTCCCATGTTTCAGTTTCATGTACTTACTATGTAACATTAGTGTATAGTGACATGACTCAAATGTGATTCACATCTCTTGGCTATATTTGACCGTTTGTCAGATTCTACTAGGGAATTTCCTTATCCTACGAAGTCAACACTTACTTTGCTTATAGAGCGATCAGCTCATTCTGTAATAGGTGAATTAAGTTTGATAGTCGGAAGTTATGACGATATCCTCTTACAGCGAAATTTTTGATAAATCTATCATGGCATTGGTCATTTTGTTATTGATTTTGGGGGCATTTTATTACATCAAATATAGTTGGCTTCAATAGAATTTGTCTGCAGATTCAATTGAGACCTTTCCAGCTATATAGTCACTAAATATGTTCAAAATATTTGTCAAATTCATTTCACTTTTTACACATTTTGCCTGTGGTTTTAATCAAATAGGAATTTTGGTTTAATGGTTGATTTTCTTGTCATTCAACGCTTGAAAATCTATGTATACTGATCTTTTTGGACCAAGTTACAATTGGTTGTGACAAAATGTGCCAGACTAGGACATGATTTACTTGAGAAATGGAGCTAAATAAATCAAATTTGAATACTAGTATTAAAAGTTGTCCTAAGATATTTTGAACTTGAGTGTAAATATTGTTGAGTTCCGGTTCCTTATATCTCGTATTCCTTATATCTCGTATTGAGGTGTTTGACTTCCACTTTTATTTTTTTTTAATTTTTGTATGACTTTCCAATAAAAACAAAACATATTCAAATGAAAAAGATTGTAGAATTTATTTGTGTATGTTTTACTCTTGTGACTCTTAAAAAGATCACACAAACAGGTTGTTCATAAAATTTTGCTTTGAACACCTGATCTGCTAAAGCAGTGGCATTCTGCCTCTATAATTACATCTGTATCTGATTCGAAGTTCCAACTAGCTGTATTTATTGTTAATTTTTTAATAAATAGTGGAAATTGTTGAAGTAATTGCGAATGAATATACACCTTAAGGGGATGTGGTTTCTGAGACATCAAGGCAACTGAATGAATTATTGGTTGCCTGCGTAAATTCAAGTTTTCTATATTCATGGTCAATATAGAACTACTGATAGAAATCTTTATCAGTATTTACCGCTCTTTGTTTGAGATTTTTTTTGTCCTATTTTTTCGTATCTTGAAAAGAAACATGTGTTTTAAGCGCTTGCATGGATCCCTTACTTCAAAGTTCATCAATTTTTTTTTATAGTTTTATCTTTTAACATACTTTAAGTGTATCATCAATTTCAGCATACCTTTAAAATTGATAACATTATGTATGAGAAAAGATTTACTCAAGAAATCTATTGCCACAAAAAAAAAACAGATTCAACAAATAGAAACACCCCCTTATCAGTACTTTTATTCAAGGGTGCAGTAGTGCAAGTGCTCCCATATTCCATTTATATACCGTGTAGACTATAATATAAATTCTGGTTCTTTGCGTCACAGATAAGGTTCACTCTCTCTGGTATATACCAGTATATTAATGTGAGATTTTTTAACTAAAAAATGGTGGTTCTATAACACAGGTTGAAATCAGTATATTATTTTCCAGATTCTGCTTCAAATGAATCAAAATCACAAGAAAAGATATGTGTTGTATGTGGAGATATTGCCACAGGAACACATTTCGCTGCAATGACATGTGAAGGGTAAATGTTCATCTCCTGTATTTTTCTTTAGATACATGTTTATGTACCTTTATTTTTGAAAATACTTTTGTAATATCTATCATTGACTTTCAAAAGAATAGATTCCCATTGTATCATTTTTAATAGGCTTATATGTTTATTTAATTTCATTGTATCCCTATTTTATGCTATTCATTAGCTTCATAGACAAGCAGATATTCGCTATTTTGCTTTAAGGAAGATATACTTGTGTCTTAATTTGCCAAGATGAATCATAAAGAATTAGTAAAATCACATTCACTGGGTTACATCAAAAAAAAAGGAACCCCTAAATTTCTTAATTAGGCTACTTAAAATTTATTCCATAAAACTTCTGATTGTATTTTATTGTACCCAAAAGTTTCGGTAATCTGAATTTTTGCACAAAAGTTATGTTCTCTCTAGAATATGTTCCAAATGACTTGGGTTCTGTTTATTTGGGGGTCACCCGTTATGAAACAAATGGAGTTATAACTGCTTCTATTACACAGGTGCAAAGGATTCTTCCGTCGATCAATGAAGAAATGTTCACAATTTACTTGTGCATTCGAAAATCAGTGTTCAATCAATAAATCCAACAGAAAACATTGCCAAGCATGTAGATTGCAAAAATGTCTTTCAGTTGGTGAGTAACAAAGAGTTTGTTGAATTTTTCGATATGTCAAGCATAGTTATTGGTAGTTTTTTAACTGCTTTTTCATGGCCTTGCTTTATCGTATATTATGAATCTTATTTTAAAGTTCATTAAGATAAATCCAAACACCTTAATTTTACACCATTTTTATCGCCAGTATTTGGGTCGATTTGAAGACATTTGGATATTTAACATGAAACTTGAATTTTACTCCAGTTTTTCCAAATATTTTATCACTTTTGGTACTCCTGAAATATGCATACCAAGATGGCGGAAGGTAGTATGTGTACCAGGTTAGGGTTAGGCCAAATGTTTATTCCAACTTTCCTTATTTTAGTTTTATTTCGAATTCGGAGACTAGCCAAGTGACACTCGTAGTATTTGTACCTAAAATTATGGCCTAACCCTAACCTGGTACACATACTACTTTCCGGTGTTCGTCATCTTGGTACGCATACTACAGGAGCAACTGGTTTTTAAAAGTCCATGAAAAAAACCTTTCGATTGATTTTGAAATCAATTGAGACTGAACAATTTAGAGCTGTCGGTGGTTCCCATCATTAGTTGAAAACGGTGATTGATTTATAGATATTTTTTTTTTGTCTGGTATTGATACCGATTTTTGTTACTTCAGAATAAATTAAAATATCATATATTTCATGCATTCAGTTTTGAATATGTTTATAATATTCAGCTGATAAGGTGGAAAATAAATAAATGTATCCGGAACCAAATTTATCAAATTAAGATATTTTGTTTGCGTGCAAGCATTTTAAAACTTGACATTTATGAAATAAATATATACATTCCTTCGTTCTGAAAATTTAATTTTCAAATGCTTTGCCCTAGAGCAGCCTGGTGAACGCTATAACCTAGACGGCAGTTTTTGCTTTAAAATATAACATACAACAGAACATAATGATTATATAAATCACATTTCTAATTTTCATTGACTGGTAAACTTTGCATAATTTTTTGATTGGCTGATTGTCAATATCACTATGTAAATCTTAGAAAAATGGAAAAACAGATTTGAATCTGATATTATTTTCCTAATATGTAATATAGTTAACGGATACAGTGGTGTTGAGACCTTTTTAAAAATCTTAATCTTTATTAATAATCTGAAAATTATACTGTAATCTTGAGGTTAAATGATTTGTTGCTTACCAGAGATCTCAGGATTGCATGGTTTTTGGCTACACTTTTATTAATAAAACCGTGAAACTAATCAAATGTAACGATAAATATAGGCATTCTGAGTACTTTTTTATTTGGGATTTTCATTATTAAAAAAATAAAAAAAACTCGTGAAATTGAAAATTGGATGTAAAGAAATATTAAGAAATTCCAATTTTGTGTTATAAAGTTCACAATAATTTTGATTTTACTGCTTTCAAAATTGGCAAAAAAATAATTTGAGAAGTTAATAAACTGTGAAATATCAACACTAATATTTCTTCTACATTTTTAATTTGTAAAACAACTATTATTCGGTATAATAAATTAATGTGATGTACCAGGTTTTATAATGCGAATAAAATATATTTCATTTTTTTTTTTCTATTCTAGTTGAATTGTGCTGACTGGATTATGTGGTCTTGAGAATTTTTGCTTTTATAATACAAACCTTTGTTTAAAAAAAGCCTTGGTTTGCTACGTCAGCATTAATTCGGTTTTGTAATTTATAGTCGGTTTTGTAATTTATAGTCGACACCTCAAAATGACGCACATGGTATTTTTGTGTCTTATTAGTGGCTAAAAATTGAATTACAAAACCTTTATTTTGAGGTGTGAAATGAGATAAGCATTGTTAAAAGAAGATTCATTTTACCTGAATTATTTAAAAACATCAGAACATAGAGTTTGCTGCCCCTCTATAACCTAAAAAGCTCTAAACAATTAGCACGACCCTGTTTTGACTGGTTACAACCGGTATGTATTGAATAAAATCACTAGAAATAAGATACTCCACAATGTTGCTGGTCTGTCTGGTTTAAAAGGTCAAATCACTATGTTCGTGCAAGTTTGAAATTGAAAGAGACAAATATTGCAAATTTGCATTGTTAGTTTTATAAATATAGTTGAGTCTGTTGCTTATACTAAGCCAACAAGCATTCTGTGATCCAAAATGAAAGTTCATAAAACTAATAAAATGCTTTTTTTAAGTCTTTTATACATTGCAGAACTTGTCGATGCTTAGTACAAGTAATTAACGTAGTTTAGAGTCTGAACTTCACTCAGGAAAAATATATCTTAATTTTAAGTAGATTATTATCAAAATAAATGATATAGTGACAGTAAACTAAAATATTGGAAAGTCTAACCCAGGGCTACTCAACTATTTTTACCCAAGGTCCGCATACAAAACTTCAAAATTATTTGGGTCCGGTCTCTCTAGAAATAGTATTTCGGCATCCTTGAACGCGCACTTCCTCGGCCGGCTAACGATGATTAGATAATCAAGATTGTTTATTATGGTGTTATAGTATTTTCATATATTATATTTAAAACTATAAAAATCATTTTATAAGAAGGAATTTAAAAAGTGGGACTAATGATTCAAAATAAAGAATTAGGTGCGGTCCGAATCTGCAAGCCACCGATATCAAAATTTCTGAAAAATTCAAACCTCATCTATAGGACATAATAAAGTTCCAAAATATCCTGTCCAAAGGGTTTTCCATATGGTCCAAAGGCCTTCATTAATAATTACTAAGTTGTTTTTGCCCATAAATGATTGTTTCTTAAATTAATTTTCAACCATGTTTTGAAGGTAATTTCAGAGTTAATAAATAACAACAAGCTAACTTAAGACTTTCACCTTCATACTTAATAATATTGAAACTGTTACTGAAGAATCACCAACACACAAGTTTTGGTATCTATTAATAAGTCACATAGATTATATTTAAACACTCACAACAAAACACGCATTGGCTGAATTACATTGTTTGCTTCATACTAGTTTTTCACTTTTCACATGGATATGTTTGGGATAACTTGCGTATACATTGAATCTTTTTAAAGATATTTTGCCATACATTTTAACTATTTTTTCATATACATTTCAACTTTTGCTGTATCAAGCTAAATTTACCAAAGATTTTACTAATAATTCTTTCCGACATCATTTAAAATTGGTTTTAATATTCATTCTTGTGTTATCAAGGGTTCAAAAACGTATCAGAATGCATACATTGGTATTCTTGAATCGTTGACGTTAACATCTATCCAAAAAAAAGCAGCGAAGAGAAAATTTAGTCAAAAATCGAATTTTGATTGAATTTTTTCTTGAATTGAACTCTTGAAATTTGAGTGAAATTGTATTGTATTGTAAATTGTATTCAATTTGAAAAATTAAAAAATATTTTCTAATAAAGAATGTCAAGCTTACACTTAGTGACACACAAATGAAATCTTTACATTGAATATAAATTCTATCACTGTAAGCATCGTTATCATGTTTTTGAAAATACTTTTTTCCCCTTTGTTGTCTCTATTTCTGTATGATTAGGCCATAGAGGATTTGTAATTATGTAATATTAAACTAACCCATTCCCTAATTATTTGACCCTTGGGGAACAATGGAATATTCTGGTTGTTGTGCTCTTTTTATCACACATCTTAACTTTTAAATTTCAAGGAATGAATTCTAATCTTATAATGAGCGATGAAAGCGTCAACAGAAAACGTGAACTCATTCGTGCAAACAGAGAAAAGAAGGCTTTATTGAGATTAAAAAAAGAACAGGAAGAAATGGAACAAATTGAAAAGAAACTAGAGTATGTTGTTGATATACTTCTTCTTTTTTATTCAATATTTGGATTTGTAACATTTTACTATGCTCATATGCTCTAGTGTGTGTTTCTGAGATTTTAGATTTAATATTTAAAATTGAAGTTGTGTTACATTGCATATAGGTTTTATTTAAATTTGGTAATGCATTCTTGTATCTTGTACATGAATTGCCCAGCGAAGAAAAAAATTTAAACAAGCTTTATTTGAAAGATCGTACGTACTGGTATTCAAATAAAAATTTCTTATATGTAGCATATTAAATATTTTTTTGATTTCGTTCTCCAGCAGTTTAATATAATCTTGTTTATTCAATGACATATCTCATTTAATAATCATTCCTAATATATGCTCATATTTCAACCAGAAAGGAAAAATTTATACTACCAAACTGCAAAGACATGCTAGCCTACATATCGTTTCTAATGTACTGTCTTATACTCATTTTTGCACATCAATTTAAATAGGTTTTAACTTTTTTTGATGAAATAAATATGTGAAAGAAATTTTCAATGAAAGTTGAGTTATACTGAATGCAATAAACGGTTATAAATTATGATACTTGAAACTCAGCGACTTCCTCCAAAATATGATTTGTTTACGCATAAACATTGCTACGTCAGCGCCAAGATGTCATGACCGCTCGACATTTACGTTGTTTGCGAAATTAATCCTTTAAATGCCCTAGGGAGATTGCGTACATCAACTGGAAATATTTTAGTATACAAATGCATGCCTATCACATGCGTAAAAACTAATACAAATGGCAAATTCTAGAAGCAAAGACGTTTTACCTCTTTAAAAATACCTCAGAATATAATAAACCTGATCATAATTCAAGATAACAAATGATAATTCATAATAATACAGGTTTAAATGAATTTGACATTATAAGCTCTAAACAAATACGACACAAAGCAAAGTAATGTAATCATTTATAAATGTCACCCACAAACAATCTTACCCGTCTGACAACCGAGTTCTAATTTAACATCGTCATCACACGAGTCCTAACCAAATTTTCCCACCAGATGAAAATGACTTCGGTGGTTACAATGTCCTTTAGCTTGAAGATTGATTCTCACAGTTACCGGTATATATTATTTACAGGGGTAGGCAGAGACAGGAGAGTTTATTAAGAAAATTTCAATAAAATATGTTCGTTATTTGAATATTTTTATTTTTTTTAAATTAGTAACATTCAGTGATATTGATAAGTTGAGTGTATAATAATAAACAGTGAATATGATCAGTGCACCAGACTAAAATTCCTTAGCTCAAAAGTGGTTTTTATTTACGGATTTATAAAAGGGCAATGTTGTATGTAAATTTGCTGTTTTTGTTATTCCTGTTGAAGCAAAACAATCCATAAGTCACAGCGTTATGAAAAACAGAATGAGAACAAATTTTTTTTTTTTGAGAATAATATTTGCTGCAGGCATCACATTTGTAACCATAGAAAAAAACAGCGGTGATTTGCTTCTCTAATCTTTCGATATTTTTGATAAATAGACAAAGTTGCAAATTTTTGTAACTTTAAATTGAAAATTATAAATTTAATAAAATCATAATTAACTTGTCAATAAACCTTCACCCCCACCCATTGGACTATTTATGTTGTTGTTTTATAACTTAAAAACAAGAAAATTAAATTTTTTTTTGTGACTTCTAATATTTTACCTTATTTTGTATTCATAAATAGCAAATCAAATTGTAAACTAATACAATTCAATCAAATTTTATTTTTTTTATTCGCATTTCCAGAGCTTCTCCTCAACCTGAGGTTCAAATGATGGCAGAAGATAAAGCTCTTATTAAAATGATGTTGGAGAGCCATAATCAGAGTTATGATTTTAACTATGATGGATATGAAGGTTTCAGGGGAACAGATGTAAGTTGAATTCAAACTTTCATTCCCATTTAGACTATTTAATTTACTTTTGTATATTATATGTGACTTCTAGTAAGGGAACAAGTACAAGGTGACCCAGGTCATCTGAAAGATATTCTGAAGAGAACGTAACTTGTGTGCAAAATGTTCTAGATTACTGAAACGTCATGCACAAACAGAAGTTCAAGTGTGAAATAAATTTTCTTCATTTTCCTGGAAGTAATTAAGAAAGATTCGAACTAATCACTATCAAATACACCAAAGTTGGGGAAGCTAATTATTTGATTGCAATTTTTTACAACAAAAGCAAGTTGAGCTCATAGAAATTTTGTAAATAAAGGAAAGAAATAATAGCCTTCTAGCGAAAAATACAATCTTCAACTACTGAAAATTATAAAGCAATTGGTTCAGTAGTTTTTATCATGATAATAGGAACGAATATGGTAATAAGAACAACGACAACATAATAACAAACCACTCATATGTACACTTCGTATCCAACAATACATCTTTCAAAATTGAGATCAATAGTTGTACAGAGTAAAATAAGGATGAATTTCTCATGTATGGTACATAAGTAGAAATAAGTGAGAGAATCACCACAAATCAACATGATTGTTATCAATTATTTATGAAGTTCTGCAGTCCTAATCGAAGTTATGTTTAATGCATTATTATAAATTGTAAAATAAACTGCCCAGCCAAAATGTCTTGAAACTGCAAACATTAACAGCTTAGGTGAAACAATACCTTCAATCTTTAAGTAATAGATTTCTCAACTCAAGGCTGGGTGTAAGGTTAGAGTTAAGGTATATGACATAACTAGGTTTACTCACTTTTATTGGACCATTAATCAATCCTCAAATTAATTCGTATTTTAGTGTCTTCAAAAATCTAGTGTCTTTAAAAGTTCTATAAAAATCATATCATGTTGTTTCATTTTCAATTTTTCTTTCAAATTTAGTTTACCTTCTTCCAAGTTATTGGAAGTATTTCTTTTTACATATGCCATTAACGTTGCTTCGCTGCTTATGAATCAATAATTTTGATCTTACTGTAATGCACTTTCAAACAGGATATCAACAACAGAATGTTGTGAACTCATTTGGGTTCGATGAAGGATATGAACTCAATTGTGAGCTTACTACCAATGTATTACTCAGTAGACGTATGAAAGTGCTGAGTAGTAATATGCAATAAACGTTTGTTATGGCTTTAGATTGAACAACGATTTTTCTTTACAAATTAAAATTGATGGTATTTAAAAAAGATGTCTTATGAGTATGGATATGGTTTAAATGGGTACATACATACACAAACAGAAGTTCGAGTGTTAAATAAATTTTCTTCATTTTCGTAGAAGTAATTATTAAATATACTGTTCTTTATTATGTCACCCTGTAGCTATCATGTGGCATAATAAACCATGTTTATTAATAAAGATAGTTTCAGAATTACAAAACGGACTTGACATACCAATTTATCATTTATCATTTTACCTGCAAAATTGTAATCTTTGTCAAATATTTTAAAGTTAGTGGTTACAGTATTGGGCACCCTCGTTTGAATTCATATACAAAAACTCGGATTTTTACAAAAAAATTATTTTGGTGAAAAGTTTCTACTCTGAATTAAGTAAATTGACATATTTTTTGAGATATGGACCACACTATGGCTCTGTGACATTAATATTTTAGTACAACATATCATACATTTATTTGAAATATAATCCATGCAACATGATATTTTACTAGTATCCTTTATTGATCACTGCTGTTCGTGATGAGTGATAGTAATTCATCAATGTCATTGGCTTTTATGTTTACCACTTCGTCCACGTGCACACAAAACTTTTAAATAAACGTGTCAGTAGGATTGTCACAATCTTCAATGTGATTTGATATTACATGCACTTTTTACTTTTTACCAATTTTTTTTATTTGAATTCTTTTTTTTCTGCAGTATTATGATCTCAAATTTATTAATTGTATTCAGAAATTTGATTTACTCTCATCAGCCCTGCGTCTTATTAAGACATCTGATTTTTTGGTTGAAAATTCTTGTAAAAAATAAGTCTTTCTTGTCACCTGTTACTAATCATATATTATTGATTGATATTATTGAACATAATAGATGTCACTTTATGTTCTGAACACTGATATTCCAAGAACAAATTTGATATTCATTTTGGAAGTATTGTTATGAATAGCAAATATATTTTAGAGTTGTGTGTCATATATATTCTAGTTTCATATAATATTTATGGAATGAATGGACCAGAACTAAATAATTTACTATAGTAAATATATATTCCGAAGTAAATTTTTAAATATGAGAATCGACTATATTTTGATTTGTCTTTATTATTTTGTTCAACAGTTTAATTTGCACAAAGCAATGTAAATTTGTGCAAAATGAATTTGCAAGAAATAATGTAATGAAATGGCAAATGGGGATAAAGTTAGTTATGAAGTTTAGTTCTGTCTTAAGCATCAAGATAACAGTTTTTTAAGGGCTTGCTTGAACTCAAAAAGGTGAATGCTGCTCTGAGAAAATAAGTTGAAACTCTTTTAACTTCATAGAAATACTTTCGTAAATATTGCTCCAAACTATGATTAGATACAAGCTTAATTAATGAGCACCTATTCCTTACTAATATTTGAATAGAATTTAAATAAAAATTGTTCCGAAATTTCAACAATTGCACTTTTGTCTCAAAACTCTCGAAATGCTCAAAATGACAAAACTTTCAAATAAAAACTTACCGTATTATTCCTAAAATCAAAGAGTTTACTATATAGACTATTAGGTACTTGATTAAGTACTATTTTATTAAAAAATAAATATTATTTTGATTGTATTCAATGTTCCATTCATTTTAGCTAATACATACCATTAATAACATTTTCCATTGTCTTATAATAAACACACCTCGGCTAAAATTGTAATTACTAACAATAGTATAACATCATTTTATTTGAGGATTTATCTGGCAAAGTAACTCGTATTATATCCACACTTACGTGTTTGCAAGAGTCTTTACGTCACGACTCACGACATAAATTTTTTTCATCTTCCAAGTCTATTTTTGTTGAAATTGATTTTTACATTCAATTCGGTCAGCACTGACCTTTCGGCATGGTTGGACATAATAATGACAGTAATCAATCACGAATGTTGTATACATTTATATTTTATTCTTGTTCGAGCATGATTGACAATTTGAAACATACTGAATCGCAGAATGAAATATTTATAAAATTATTGTGTGCAAGTAGATATAAATACATTTGTTTTATGGCATTTATTAGTATGTCCGTTTTTGTAATCCTGAAACTACCTTTATCATAAACATGGTTTGATATGGCACATGATAGCTACAGGGTGACCTAAAAAACAACCTGTAAATTTCCTAATTATCATACTTCTACGAAAAAGAAGAAAATATATTCGACACTGGACTTTGTGTTTGTGTGTGACTGTACCCGAAATTTTCAATAATATGGGATGCTTTGCGCAAAACTTATATTTTTTCTTGAATATTTTGGATATGACCTGAGTTGTGTTTATTTTTGAATCACCCATTCACCCTACATACATATTGTACATGGGATTAATGGCATAGGAAGAAGTTTGTGTGGCCCACACTTGGTCCCTTACCAACAAGCACTAGTTTTTCTTTTAATGGGCATCACGCTTGAGTTTCCATATTCGGCTGTATTATTAAGGCTATTGTACTGATAAATTTATAATGAAGTTGCATAAGTATTCAAGTTTTTTCAAGATACATGTTAAATTGGCCACGACAATTGGCATAAATGCGTTATTACATCTACACTATATTTTAGCTAGATATGTACAAAGGCGACAAAAATATTCAAAATTTGTTATATTTGATATTAATTTTTGATTTTACAAATCCTTTAAAAATTATAATTTGAAAATTTTCTCAGTTTATTAGGGTAATTAACAATCAGACCTATAGTAGGTTTTATTTGACTTCTATTAATAGTAGTAAAGAGAAAAACATATGCAACAATAGCTAGGGCTTTATAGAATAGTTCATATGTTTAATAACCTATTATATGGATCCCTTCTTTACAATCCTAATATTCTACATGCCAATGTTATGTTCATGTCACCAATATATTATATCTGATAGAACATAGATATATTTATTTGATAGACAGGCCATTGTAGGCATTTTCAAGCATAATTAACATAATAATTTACTATTTAGAATTCACTTTAAAATGTTGCACTAAATTTGACATGCAACTTTATCTTATTTAACTATATCCTATGGCTATGGGTATCACAACTTCATCAATGTTTTACGTTTAACACATGGCAATAGTTGAATCGTATTTGATTTGTGTAGGACGACCGCAAGGCCTACCACTCGGTCCTATTGTTATGATGTTATTCATTTTGTCATTCATCATTTTTTATCTTTGACTGATGTCAATGATAAAATAGATAATTTGTTTTCTTAGCTTGTGGTTAGACTGATATAAATCTTTTCAACTTGAGGAAAGGATAGTTTCAATATTATATAGGCCTATGAAAGAAATTCTTCGTAATGTTAATTTAATACAGTCTAAAAGACAAAGTTTTGCAGATATTAATCGTTTGTGTTGTATTGGCCAACAGCCCAACAAACCTAATACTTACCGGTAAGTTTATTAATCTGTATTCAGTCTTCTCAATACATAAGTATACATGGTATTATAAAATGATTCACATACCTTGATTATGGTAAATATTTTTTATTGCAATATATAATAAATAAAAAACAATTATTTTTTTTGTAAAGAAATTTATTTTTGATATGCGTATGCGTCATATCAAAATGCCTTCTGTGGAAAGAAAGTTTTCAAAAATACCCATAATATATTGTGTCACAAACCTATTATAGCTATTACATGTAGTTACTGCCTAAAAAGACAAACTCGCTATTTTTATAATACTTATTTTTGTGCAAAATAATGATTTGAAGCAATATGGTTGTTTTGGATCTTTTTTGGCCATTAATATTGAAGACCATCTGTTATTCATTTCAAATATCATCTGATTGGATCTTTTATCCTAATGGAGGGTAGTCTACTAGTTAGTATATTGTGTATTGAACTGCAAGTCCAATTTTTACCATATTTATTTGCTACCTCGTATTTAGCAGTTGCCATAAGTATGCTTGAACAAAATAGTATTAGAGTGATAATAAGGAGAGTTTTATTATTAATTTTTGTTTTTCTCAAATAAATTAGTTAACTTATTTTGATCAGTATTTTGTATAAACCAGCTCACATACCAGGATTATTATTTTGAATTTTTGGTGCAGTAATGCCACTCAAATATGCGCACTTCTAAATTCATATTGTTGGGCATTGAATGATAAGTACACAATAATAATGTATTTCATTGTATGCTTATGATAAATTGTATGCTTATTTATACTTGAATATTCATTACTAGACTAAAATTGGAAAAGACAATTATACTTTTAAAGCATTCCTCAGTAACAAAATAATCTCATTGTTATGGGTCAAGTATTCTCAATCAGGCTTGGAACTGTATCCAGACAGTTGTTGTTTACTTCAGTCCCCATTCTCGTCAAATTTTCAATCATCCCCTAACTCTTCAGCGTGGCATTTCGGGAAACGTGATATCAGATAGGAGAAACGCTCGATAGAACGTTAAGCTGCTTGTTATGATGGAAATTGATCTGCTGTATGTTTATTTACTATAACTATAGCAAATCATACATACAGCTCCTTCAATAATTGATTGAAAATGGTTGACTTTATAAATCGAAAAATTTCTTTCAACGTTTTGATAACGCTATTTTACTTTTATACGTAGCAATTCAAGTTTTTGAATATTATATAATTTTGTCTAAGATTCATGTTAAGGCATGCATGAAAGAATTATTTTTAGCTGAGACAGGTTTACAGAGAAAATAGCTTCATTTTTGGAATAATCTGATAATTTGATTATCTTCAGCCTCGTATTGTTTTCTTTTCTGTTTATATTTTCAATTTAAAAATAAATTAATAACAGGGGATATCCTGTTTTGGGGTGGCAGGAGAAATATTGATATTCGATTCATTTTTTTAAAACTTTGATGTTTCGAATGAAGTTTTAGTCTGAATCTCATTCTCAATGTAGAATATATTGAAAAAAAGGGATTGAAAGTTACTTATCAGAAAGTGTGTTTTCTTTGTAATAATATGCTACAATCCAATTTGTGATTGAATTTTGGTATCTAACCATTCCATGTTATGGTAGCCAGTAATGCAGTGTCATCATAAATATCCTGAACAAATTTATTTTCTAAATTTCAGTGATGTTGTAAATGGGATTTTAAACGCATTTTTGGTTCAAACAGAATTTCAAAATTGATTTATTTGAAAACTATGCATTAATAAAGAATTTAAATAATCCAAATACCATTTTCTTCATAATTTGCTATTTTTGCAATAAATGGTGATTTAACACCAAAAATATTCTTGTTCGAGGTCGATTACCTAGAAATGACAAATGTAAAATATCATACTCATAAGTTACTTTTTGGGTGTGATAAGCTAGGATTAGAACGCTGATGGCCCACAGGTTAGAGATCTTGAGTAGCAACATCTATTCCGATCTATTTGGACCCCTGTATTATGTACAGCAGTGGTTGGCAAAGTCTTTCAAGTGAGGCTCAATTAACAATAGGCCTATAAAATCAATGGAATAAACTCTATTGGCAGACACTTTGCGGCAAATACATTATAAAATCTATCAACCCAGATATAAATCTTACACAAATCTTGTTTCAGAAGACTAGTGTGAAAAATAAGCTGACTCCACAGAGAAAATAAAATGAGCATAGCCGCTTAATAAGGCACCCCCCCCCCCCAAAAAAAAAAATCAGGTCGAAAAAATAGTCTAAAAAAGCGAATTAATAGCCGGGAAATACAATAAGTGTCTGTTTCTACAAAGGAAAGAATAGTTAGCATATAAAAATCTGACATCTCCAATTTTCTATTGGTTCTTTGAACATGACTGCTTCCTATGCTTCCATTGTTTTTATTCATTTTCTTCTACTTCTCCGTTTAGGTTATCCAATCACCACCTGACCCAGAAGAAGTAAAGAAAACTCATGTTACACTTGCATGGCTTGTAGCAGGAGATAAAGAGAAATCACCGGAGCATTCTCCTGAAACAGCAAGATCCAAGAAAAAATCTGTTGATTCTTCTGACAGTACTAACAGTATTGCTGAACAGAAAAAGATTAAATGTGATTATTATTTGGGTTGAATTGATATTGTTGAAAGATTGTTATCAATGGTAAAAATGTAGTCAGATTGTGCTATGATTGATATCAGAATTGGAGGCTGAGGTTTATTTCACTTCCTGGTGTAGCGATTTGGAGAATTTTCTGTAGTCTGAATTCAATCTTCTCATAGTGGTAATTGAAGTCAAACTATCTGACGAAAATTGAAAGTTTCAAAAATTCAGGAACGCTGGCATTGGCAAGTTTTTGTGCTCAAAATTTGTTGTTGATAAAATATTGCCTCCTCCATACTTGATATCATTTTTTTTGAATTTGTATTTTTTTTTAATTTGAAATTAGAATTTTCTTTAACCTATCAAACGGAGCTATCTTCGATTCGTCGTTTTCAAATTATTCTGGTTTGAAATCGGTGTTTGGTATAAGTTTTTTTCAAGGTTCACAGCATTCTGAACCATTTATTATTAACACATTCTGCAATTTCACTATGATTTTCTCCTATTTCAGCGGAACTTCCATATTCAAGATCAGGAGATGGAATGTCTGAATATCCTGTAAGTATATTTTCAATATTTCGATTTATCGAAGATTATTCCATTTTCAACATAATGGATATATATATTTCAAACTGATGTGACATATCCGGTAAATGCTTTGATAAAATTAGTCACTATCTCAAAGTTCTTGGTTTTTTTTTAAATTTCACACAAAAAGTTCGCATTTTTATCTATTTAATTTTTCAATAGCATTAATCACACATTACAAAGTTTAAGGCCTGTATGGTTCAATTTTCGATCAAATGCTCCAAAAAATAGGATTTCCCCAAATATTAGGGCTTTCATTACATGAAGAAAGAGGCCATCTTGGTGTACATACTTCTGGAAGTCCAAGAAAGATATATTTCATCCACATTATTCTTTATATTAACAGCCAAGTGAAGATGTCTTTAGTTCATTACATGGGATTTCTCAACCACTATCTGGATATCCATCTCACACTCACATGCCTCATCCTCCCCCACCGATAGCACCAACATCCTCGACACACAGACATAACTCATACTACTCTGAGTGAGTTTTTTTATTATTCATTAATTATGAAAGAGCATCCCTTTTCATGAATTTTGAATTAACTGGGAAATTCAAGTTATGTGCTAATTATGCAACTTTAATCAATCTTGGCTGCATACTACAATGTGTACTGCTAATGTATAAAATGGTTTTTCTTGCATATAAGCCACCCTAAAGCGGTTAATTTATAAAAATTCGCATATAAGCTAACCCTACAAATCGTAACACGTCGTACGCACCTATCACAGCAAATGGTTGTAGAAGAGAATGAATGGAAATGATAACCATTCTTGGTATGTTTTACTTTTATTAATAACGGTACGAAGTGTCTCAAAATCCCGTTATAACGTAAACACGCAATCGATCACATGTATGACAACCAATCACAGACTGTTATTGCTGTCATAGCGTAACAAGCGCTGGTTGGCAAAGTATACGTGCACGTTCTTATTGTGGGAACTTAGCGCGTATAAGCAGATCATCAGTGCGATCATAGTTATACGCGTATAAGCCGACCTCTTAGTTTGCAATTTTTTTGCAACTCTGCTTTTATGAGATATACTGTATTATTGTGTCAGTTAATTTTATTTACTTCACTCGTTCTTACCTCAGTGCATCTGGCAGTAGTACATCTACATCTCCATATAGTATGCCACCCAAGAATCCAGATTTCGATCCTTTTGCAGCAGGTGGTTTCCCTTCTTTTGATCAAGCGGTAAGTAATGATTACCATGTTTACGTTTCATTATTACAACTATGAATGTTTTCATTAACTGTCGGTGATTTAAAAAAAATTGCCTTTTTCATAAAAATATAATGGACCAATTTATTACAATTTTTTAGTACCGGTACCAGTACTTAAAATCGAAGAAGCTGTTAAAAGACTATTACTACTTATATTTTTGTTTTCAAATATCCCCAAATTTTTCAAAATTTCAACTTTTCACCTTTTGTCTTGCAATCCTCCATTAAATGACATTTGCTGACATTGCGGTGACTAAATTATTGATTGCTCTTTTGTACCATTGAGTTGTTTTAGGAATAAATTGGAAATTAGTCATTTTTATTTATCCTCCTATTTTTGTTTACGTCTTACTATTCAATTGAAATCTTGGTAAACAGTAGCATGAATACTGATTCCACGAATAGTTGAAAGTGCCACAGGCATTGCTATGATATCATAACCATACATTAGTAAAAACAAATTTATTGTTTACCATTACCTCACTTGTGTGATCCAATAGAGACTTTGTATCTAAATATGGAAAAATTTAGTCTGAAAACTTTGATTATTTCTATACTGTTATAACATATGGGAGTATGTATGGGAGTTCGGGCTGGAAATCTTTTGCCTGATCAGTTATATGTTTTATTTTCCCAAATCATGGTGCTTAAAAGCTTTAATGAATATTCATTCCTCTGTTAGATCAATACAAATGTGGTTTCACATTTTTAGATTTCTGTTCAAGAAACTCTAAACTAATTTTTGTTTTAATATTCTTTTTATTACAGGCTGGAATAATGACAATGTTCGGTGGGGGTGCGGAAGGAGGAGATATCACTTCAATGATGGGTGCTGGAGGTTTTGGTAATATTTATTTTCTAGAAATAATAATTTTTTTCTCATGAATGATATCAAGTCACTAGTGTGTATAAATGAACAATTAAATAATGCAGTATGGTGGCATGTTCCTGATTGTGACAGTTTTTGTTAATTTTATGTCTAAAATAGAAATGGTTGATTATCAAATAACTCTTGGCGTTCAGAAATGGTGATTTCATCAAGTGGACCTGTCGTTTTGCTGGAATTGTTGTTGTTATTATGAAAAAATGCTTTCTCTGCGACTGACGGACAAAATTTTTCTGAGTTGTCTGGGGCCCAAATAAAAGCCAGGTGGCCCAATATTTCACTCCAATTTTTGATGGCTTTTAAAATTCTCAGTCACATATTTATATCATTTCCTGTGACAATTCTTTTCACATTTCACTGGTTACGAATTTCAAAATGTTCGTTATGAAAATACAGGAAAAAATTTCAACCTACGTACCTTTATACTTCAAGTTATTTTAATTTACAATGAACTAAAACTTCAAAAACTCAGATTCAATGTCTTTTCTGCAAGGAATGTTTATGAATAGCCAAAATGATCCAGAAAAACCTCATTCTCTATTTCAACACTTCTGCGACATTATGACATGGGGAATTAAAAAGGTTAGTTTATTTTGCTCTTTTTTACTTTGGATTTTCTATTTCTTTTTTCAAGTTTTTCTCAAATTTTTGTATGTCGGCTCGTCTGTTACATCGTTAGACCAGCGGTTTTTAACCAGGGGCCCATGGCTCACTAACGGGGTCACAGCGCAAAACTGATTTTACTTTTTTTTTACAAGAAAACTCCCCATTTTTCCTAATTTTGTTGCTTGATAAGGTTATCACACGATGTGTTTCCATCTTGTTGAGCATGAGTTATTTGATCATAATGGGATTTGGAATCTACCAATCAAAATACCACTATAAATACTCCTGTAATGATAAACGGGTTCACGAGTGCTAAAATCCTATGGAAGGCGCCACTGCATTAGACTGTGTTTTAACTGTGTTGGCATCGTGGGTTAATCTCGGATTCAAATTCCATGCTAACCGGGCCACCACGTCTTCCAGGGTTTGATAAATTGATTAGGCAATGCTGAACTTGTACAATAGTAGCTCCTTACATATCAATAAATATTAGTGCTGCTTGTACGCAGCGAAAGGGCATGAATAAGTGAGTGGCCTTCTTTACAGAGTTGAATCGAAGTGTCTTTAAATCTATGTAAACCTGGTATTTACTAAATCTCTATAGCAACAGCAATTTCACATATTGCCTACCAGAGATTGATTGATTTCTTGAACGATAATTTATGTGACCTTGAGGAAACTTAAATTGAAAACATTAGTCGAACACATAGCTTTAATTATTGTGAAATCGCATTGATTTTTTGATATTTTTGTGTATTATATTCATGTTCTAGTTTCTTTTACATGTGTGCTAATAGAATATTTCTTATCAAAGATATCTGTTAATTGTGCAAAATCTATGTAAATTGCAAAATCGAGGACAGGGATGTTCGAAAATGGTTGAAATATTTAAATTGATTCAAAATTATTCATTTTGAATGTTATAACTACTTAAATTTAGGAATAATTCAGAACATCTTTTGTGTGAGAATTTATCACTTTGAGCAACTAAGCAACTTTGACCAACTAACTGGTCAGGCAAAAATAGACAACCATGTTTTCATCCACTGATTCTGTATAGAAACAATCAAAAGATTGTATATCCATCTAATTTTCACATAGCTAAATCATTTCCATTAATAATGTGAAAAAATATTTATTACATGTTTTCTCTCTTTTGACCTGACCTAATTTCGAATACATTCACTTCCGAATAGCAAATTCACTTTTGGCCTTCCCTGGCATATTGATTTTCTTAGCCTTATTTACGCCTAGTATGGCCCAATGATTGTATGATCCTCACATACTTGGTTTATGTACGGTAAATGCTTGGCATAATAACATATCCTTGTAAGATTGATGCACTTCTTTTTTTTTGAGTTCCATATTTTCAGAATTTTATGGGTCACTGGATGATCCATTGGCGTCACAAAATATGACACCATGGTTCATATAAACTGGGTGTGTTATACTTTATTTAAATGAAATCTTCATCCAATATATCAATTCGTTGATTTCCAAACGTCATTCAGACAAATTCTGCGGCCAAACTTTATGCATTATTCAATCCCTGTCAAGTTTTATATCGATTCATGGCCTGAACAAAAACATCTTTAATTTTATAAAGATTTAAACGATTGTTTACAATTCGCGGGATTTATATGAATGATATAATAGAGAAGTCCTATTGTGAAGTCATTTTGTTTTCTGGTCTTCTAAAAGAGTCAATATTTTAGTAAAATATGAACTTCACAAAAAATTCTATGTTGGTATTTCGACTTAAAATCAGTTACTTTGTAGTTTGTATATCTGACTTCGTGGAAAAATTTGAATAATGACACTTTTTTTTAGATAACCCTTTCGAAATTTGCTTTTACTCAACAAGCATAAAGAGACTCATTGGGTTGTAGAATAATTAGTTTAAACAGAATTTTAAATAAACACATATTGTTGTAAGGTTTTTTCTTATTATATGATTATTGAAAGTACAAATTTTCTTCAAATTTGGCAAAAAAAATGATGAATTCGATGATAAAAAATGATAGGCCTTATATAAAAAAAATTTTGTCTCAAAACCCTCGATTTAGTGTGTGGATTTGATAGCATAAAATTTTTTTATGTTATATCAATATGGGTATTGTTTGTAGTTTTCTTCATAATGTTTCTTCTAAAAGGAGAAAATAACTTTTGCCAAGCTTAAACTGTTGATAATATACCCTTCCTGGAATGCTTTATCAATTGCCCATTCTTGGTTCAATGTAATTGAACAAATATTTTCAATAGTAGTAAACAAATATTTTTAATGTTTTCATTGTTTACTATATGATTTATCACCATGGTAGTATTGTCAGATATGACCCATAATGAAATACTATGACATGATCTTCATTTCTAGATCATGCTTAACTGAACATACGCATTTGATTTCTGGTGACCTCAAGGTTCGTTCATCCTTGGATGGATGGAATCTAATATTTTTATTTTTTTTTTGAGTTCAGAAAAAAAAATTTTCCATTCTTCCACTGAAAGCTTTATATATTTAGTTATGGTTTTAGATGACAATCGTATATTTTAAGATGTTGAATATGAATATCAAATATGTACCTTACTTTTATATCTTTTATGTACTGTATTATATGAACTAAAAGGGTATAAGACACCAGGTTATAGTACTCACTGTCAATAAATTTCTCTGATTGGGTTTTTATTCATACATAACTGGTTCATAACCGGTACTGGTTTTGAGTATTGGTATTTAGCAATAAAACACTACCTGATCCATACATAAGGTTTATAAATGGCACACTATCGATTTTTAAGAAAAAAAATACTTGAATCATAAATTATGGTCTTTAAAATATGGTGAAATTTGAAAAAGATTATAAAAGAATACATGAATGCTGAAGGATTTTAATGTCAAACTGCTTTAAATATTCTTTGGTCTATTTCCTTTTTGGTTTATATTAAATAAGAACTATGCAAATGCATTGGTGATCTTTTGAACAATCGAGTGTTTTTGTATCGAGTCTGACATTTTCTCAATACTGCTAGTAATAGGCAGACCTTATATTCATTCAATTAATTAGTTTTTTTTTTTTGATTTATTAGGTGATTGAATTCTGCAAATGCATCCCTGAGTTTCAAGAATTATCAACAGTAGATCAAATCAATTTGTTGAGAGGAGGGTGCCTTGAAATGCTCGTATTGAGGTTGGTAGACTAGACAATATATTATTTATATACCGGTAGGTAGAAAATTGATACTAAATTGCGCAAATGCAATAAGCAATATTCAGCGATGTCCAAGAATATATTCGAAATAAGGTATAGTCAATATAGAATATCTTCAAATATTTTCAGTGGAGAATTTGTAAGTTTGGGCTTTTTATATCTGATGACCAGACGGCATTCAACTTTTTTTATGTAAAATAAAAAATCAAATTCGACTAGCTCGCATTCTCGAACTTTTAAACTTTATTAATTTACAATGATTCATTCAAATTTCTTGGTCAAACATGATTCAATTTTTAAAAAAAATCCAAAATATTATTTTAGAATATATATTCTTAAGTACTGGTATTAATTATTCGGTTGTGGCTTTTGCTGTCAGCATCTTTCACTGACCCATTTAAATAATTCACATCTGTCAGCTTTTACTCTTGTTTATGACATTTGGGTGACCTCCAATGTTGCTGACGTTTCCATTACCTGGCATTGGCATTCAACAGACTAGTCTGATCAGATATTGAATTGATCTCTTTACAAATATTTGTAACTACTAAGTTGGTTATTTTGGATGTACCACACCTGAAAATAACTATCAAAGGTTAGTTATATTGGTAACTTGCCTGCCGTTCTGGTCCGTTTGCTCATGGAAAGATGATTATCTCATTTTGATAGTAATGACCAGCCATACATGGTCCAGTAAGATGTTCACATATTCGAAACATTACTTGGCCAAGGATGAAAGAGATCACTAAAGAGCTGATAGAAAGTATTAAAGGGAGTAAAGTAACTATGGCTGTCATTCTTTATCCGGTTACAACTTAATAAGTGTTTTTCATACTCACTCATCCATAAAAACCGAAGTCACTCATGACAGCTTATTGAAAAACTTTGACTAATCGTTTTCTAATCGATGCTATTTATATAACTTGAATTTTCTGACGATCTGGAATCGCCTTCTTCGTAATGTATGGTCTTTCGAAAACGTCATTTTACCTTTTGATTTTATTCAATTTTATGTTCGGATGATGCAAGAAACAGCTTATAACATGTCGCCAAGCATACGGAGTCCAGAATTTGGATAATTTATTTTATATACAAAATATGGTTTGCTGTTTCTAAATTTACGAAACGGTCTGTACGCTTTTTGCAAAATAGACAATTGAAACGATACGTTAGGTGCAAAGAAAAGCAAAATATAATACCATTGAAGACAAGGACTTCTCAAATTTGTCGCTTTTGTGTGTTAGCGATCGTCGTGGGTGAATTCTAACGCGATTCAAGATTGATTTAGAGACTCGCCAGTTCCGTGTTCAAGCAAAGCGGTCAAGTGGTACCGGATATTCGAATAGTAAAATGCCATTCAAATATTTTGCTCAGCCCTAGCTATGATCAAACATATTGACACAAAGGCAGAAACGACGAAGTAAGGATATGCAATTGGTCACAGTAGCCTTCCGGTACCAGTCATCATGATGTCATAAAAACGTGTTCCATGAATAAAAATAAAACAAAATTTTAGATGAAATATTAGATTTTATAGGAAATTTGGAACAAATAAAAGTACCGGTGATACCTTTCTAGCGAAAAATACAATCTTCAATCACTGAAAATTACAAAGCAAGTGGTCCAGTAATTAATGAGAAAAGCGATTTTTTACATATAGTAACAATAAGAATAAGAAAAAGAACATCAAAATAACAAAACGGTCTATGAACACTTTGTGTCCAATTAGTTGAGTCTGAATCTATACTGATTCCGTTTAGAGTATCTAATCAACTTTTCTATTTTCTACAATACAGGTCTTATTTTGCCTTTGCATCAGATGGAAACAACTATATGTCAGATAAATTTCAGTATTCACCGACCGATTTTTTACAAGCTGGTGCAAGCTCTGAATTTGTGGAACAATATACTAAAGTTCACATGAGGATGAGAAAAATGAAATTAAAGGTAGGCTGATTTACATTTATTCACTCACTCATCCACTCAGTGTTTCACTCATTCATGTGAGAATGAGAAAAATGAAATCAAAGGTAGGCTAATTTATATTTATTCACTCACTCATCCACTCAGTGTTTCACTCATTCATGTGAGAATGAGAAAAATGAAATTAAAGGTAGGCTAATTTACATTTATTCACTCACTCATCCACTCAGTGTTTCACTCATTCATGTGAGAATGAGAAAAATGAAATTAAAGGTAGGCTAATTTACATTTATTCACTCACTCATCCACTCAGTGTTTCACTCATTCATGTGAGAATGAGAAAAATGAAATCAAAGGTAGGCTAATTTATATTTATTCACTCACTCATCCACTCAGTGTTTCACTCATCCACTCCACGTTTCACTCATTCATATGAGAATGATGTAAATATAATTCAATATATACAAATCCACATTCACTAACTCATTCATTCATGTGAGAATAAGAAAAATGAAATTAAAGATACCAATGAATTTGAATTCATTTTTTAACTGTGGAAACAATTCGGGTTCAGATATGACATTTTTTTTCTGAGTTCCAATTAATTTTAATTTACTCAGAAACATTAATCTGTGTATAACAATGTGTTTTTTGTTTTTGATTTCATATATTTATTGTGGGGCGTCGAAAATAATAACCAAATAGGCTCCATAATACCGAAAGTATGAGAACTCCTGGTCTAAACCATTCCCAAGACTAATATGTGATAAAAAGAGCTAGTTCAATTATAGTACATCTTGCTTTCGTTTTTGCAAGGTGTTTTGTCAGAGAAACCTGATATATTATTTATCACAAATTGTGTTATTCAGGTATGCGCTAAAATTGCACGTCATGATTTATATCAGATAATATTGTAAAAACAATATCTTGCATAGTTCATGTAGGGTCATTATTGAACGTCTGTATTATGAGTATTAATAAAGATTGTATCTCTTTTCCGCCGAACTCTTTTGCTTTGCGGAAAAGATTTTGTTTATGACGTGTGAAAATTAAATTGCATTTTTTGGTTTTATTAAATTTCTTTTGATGTGATGTGTGATGGAAAAATCTAAATTATTGGAACTATGAAGTATTGTTTGAGAACAATTATTCATAGTAGGGTTAAATGTGTAGACTTGTCTACCATTAGTTTGAAACCAAAAATAAGGGAAGCCGTAAAAACGAGTTCTACTGAGTACATTGAGCTTGTTTCTTCAAGTACGTCTCTGGGCGTGGTGGCCTATTGCAGGTGAGGCAGGGAGGTATGTTGTTGGGTATTGAAATTTAAGTTGTATTTATCTTAAGTTGTAATAAGTCAAATTTGCTCAAAAATAAGGGCAGATCATAAATAGAATTCGCATATGGAAGCGCTATATTAGTGGTTGGGGAATTTTGCCGTCTCATACATTATTAAATTTGTATAGGCGTACCACAGAACACCACGGGTCACGTCATGTACAGCAGCACCTGTCATTTATAATTCCTGTAGAATCATTCAATATTCGAGTGAAGTTTGAAAATAATGTTTTTGAATCTAGAATATGGATGGCTATTTTAAATTAGGCTACAACATATATGGGAGAAAGTCACTCAAATCTGTTTCTGATTAACACAGGAATGCTAGAAATGTCAATATAAGTTCTTAGTTCTATGCTCGCAGCTCGTGAGAGTGTTTGATATAGCTGTTCGTTTATTTGAAATTTTGTGCTGTAAATGATAAATTTTCAAGGAAATAACTAGTTGGATCAGAGGAGGGTAAGATTTTTAGACCAGGGTTCAAAAATTTTGCCCACTTGGATTGGCGGACCATGTAAGTGTGACATAAAAAGTTACATTTTATGAACAGTATTTACAGTGTTACAAAAGCAAAAGTGGAAAGCAATAAGCCTCATGCCATTCTCCGTGAGATATTCCACGCAAATCTCCCATTAAGAAAATTTCTTGGGAAACTAAGAATCCTAACAAACTCCTTGAGCTATTTTTGAGCTAAAACCTCAAAATTTGATTTTAGTTTGGTTGTGACGGCATTAGGTGGGCCAGATTGAATTATCCACCGACCTTGATTTGACTTGCGGGCTGTAATTTGCCCATGAAAGGGGGTTAGACTATTCTTGGTTGACTATATCTGAAAGCAGCATTGGTAAATCTTACTTTTAAAATAATTATTATTATTTGGGCATTTTTAAATATCTGTATCCCAAACAAAGTTTTTTATAAGCAAACAACTACTAGGCTGAAATGAACAATTGGATTCGTTTTCTTATATGATGCTTATTCATGCCTTTTGCTTTGAACAAGGCACTGTACAAGCAGGTATACAAGGCCCACTGATATCCATCGATATGTGAGAAGCTACTTTCATTCGGATCTTCTCGGTCCGTCATTACTGACCCAATTTATTACACCCATGAGACGTGTAATCTGCAATGTAAACACAATCGAGTCTTACACTTTATCTGCTCGGTCAATGCGTTGAATTCCCCCTTCCCCCATTTTGGAACCCTCCCCCTCTCAATATGCATAAAATGTTATTATTTGTTCAATCTTCGATGGAGATTTAGCTACGGTAGTTTTAAACAGCAGTAGCAGTTACGCTTTTGTATCATTCAAGTAGTTTATGTGCACATAAATTAAAACTATAGTGATGGTAATAAAGAATATTTGTAATTATATTACAGCAAATACTAAGCTAAATTCACCCCCAGTTGGGAAACGTTGTGCCAGGTAAGGGGTGGGCAAATTATGGCCCACGAGCTGGATCCGACCAACCGAAGTGTTCCATCTGGCCCACTTGTGTCTGATGAAATTATGACTATAGTTTTTATGGATTCATTAGTAATATCGATGAAACCGTCATATTGGCTCTCAATTGTTACATTGCGCTTATTATTATTATTATATAAATGTTAGCCTAGCTATTGTAAATAAACCTTTTTTATTCATAGTTTTTCATATTGAGTTTTGAGCCAGTAACCAAATCTATTATCTGTAGATAGACTAACCCACTCAGATCCACTCTATCGTGACACTCAGAAATTCAGAAAAATAATCAGAATATTTTCAATTTAGTATTATTTTGAATATGTTTATAAACATCTTAAACTGAATGTTGTTTTTAACCCGATCTTTCAAAGATAATAATTCTGTTTATAGCTTTTAAGAGGAACAATGATAAACAAACTTGCGGCCTTGCCATTTATGTGACCGAATCATCATTTCTATTCTTATTTCTCAGGAGTGACTCACTAAGTCTCTTGTAAAGCTTGCGTATTTGTGGTCCTAAAATCGGATTTTCAATTCCCTGTTGGCTTTTCTGTGGTTGGATTGACTTGTTTTCCCTGATCACGTTTTCATATTTATGAATTAAGTTTTACAGGATCAAAATAGTGAAGTATTTTTTTTTTTTTAGAAAATGGATATTTACCGTAATTTGATGGATCAAGCTTGATTTTAATAATTTGCTTCATCTATTTGTGTCCTCTAAAAAAAAAATTTTTTTTGTAACAATCGATTTAATCAGAAACTTCCATTAAAAAGACAAATACTTTTTTTATTATTATTGATGTTTTTTATTGAAAATTTTAAGAATCAAGGTAATTGAACGATTTTGTCAAATTACGTAATTTATTTATAATGTGTGGTTTGAATAAATTCCGCTGAATATATTGGGAATGGATAGACTATTTCCTGAACAAAACCTTCAAATTACGTAATTTATTCATCTGTTTGGTTTTATTTTGAATAAATTCTGTCGAGTATTTTGAGGACAAATAGACTATTGCTTGGTTGAAAAATTTTTTTTCTTAAATTCTTCCAATGCCAATTATAAGCCTAACATAAAATATATTACATACCGTTCTATCCTATTAATATCTTACTTGTCTTCAAATATTCCTTTGGGAAAAAATATCTGTCATTGTCAATATTAATTCGCTTCAAGATTTCAAAATATTTATCAGTGAGATCCCTTGCGGCTGTTGCAGAAAATTTCTGGCCTAAAGACTTAACTTGACGGCGTTGGCATTGCAGGTCAAAACCTTGGGTTCAAATCCCATACCCACAACCCCACCCAGTGTGTAATAAATTGGGTAGGAAATGTCGAACGCAGGAAAGATTTTGGTCCTCCCGAATAATAGTGGATTCTTTCAGATCGTCAGATCCGTGACTCCTTGTGCGGAGCCATGTTTCGAGATGAAGTCGTGCAGAAATGTTCTGTATGAAAAATGGATTGTATGTGTGGGCCGGCCGTGTATGTGGAAAGATCCCATTTTTTATAAATAATTGTAGCAGCATCATTGCATAGGACTTTGTTTGCCGCAAAGCATGAATAAGTATCGCATGAAAAATTTCATCTGTGTGATACTTAGACCTCGGAAGGAAGCGATTTCAATCACAAATTTTTTTCATTTTATAAGAAGTAGCCTGCTCTATATTTCCTAACCTTTTATGTCTTCTCAATATAGGTGGAGGAAATCTGTCTTCTTATTGGTCTTGTGTTATTCTCACCGGATAGACCAGGAGTTCAAAATTGCGAGAAGGTAGAATTGATGCAAAAAAGAATTGCACAAGCTTTACGTGCTTATGAATATACAAACAACGACCCTGAAAAAGTAAGAATTATACTGTTTGCTTCTTATTCAAATTCAATCATGTCTGGTTTAAACTAGTCAAATCCAGTTTAAACTGGATCATTCAACAAATATGTTGATAATTTTGATAGTCTGAGAGTCAAAGATACTCATCTCGTTGCGTTACAATTGTTCAAATTCCACTTGTAAATTTTGTTATCAGTATAATTAATAATATGATGCCAATGGTGTCGAGAATAAGCATATAAAGTGATTCAATTCAAGGTTCAAGGCTATGCAAAATAGTTTCAGGGTCACAATGTAATTGACTTTTTGGAAAAAAAAATTTTAGCAGATGATAGGTGTGAAATTTTAGTACATTTCTTTTTTGTGCACGTTGGCCGATTGATTGAGGCGTTAGAATTAACTATGTTGGCATTGAGTTCAAAATACAATACTCGTCTCCTCTGCAAGGCAGACAGGAAAAATCATGGACCTTCCAAAAAAATATGATTTTGCACAGATCAGTGGCATGTACTTGCTCATGCAGGATCTTTTTCAGTGTGAAAGACATACAAATACTTCGTATTTAAATTGTTTTGATTTTTTAACATATTCACACCGCAACAATAAACTTATTTTAATTGTTTTAGTTAGTTTACCTTTCTGTACAATTTTTTCAGGCATGCATCATATATTCAGAGCTTCTTCTGCTTCTCCCTGTCTTAAGAACGATAAACGTCTTATTTTCCAACACAATTTTGACTCTGAAAGGCACCAACGAAGATGATATGAACCCGTTAATACTGGAAGTGAACAATTAAAATAAAATAAAACGATTTTTTTTTTTTTTTATCTGAGATTTTCTTTATTGGTGTCATAAACTATATCGGTGAACATTCAGTTAAAATTACTTGTGCACTGAGAATTTTTAACTTGACACTAACTTCGTTGAGGAATTTATCGGAGCTAAATTTGAAATTAAGTGAAAGGTGTATTGCAGAAATCTAAAAATCAAATTTGCTATTTTATATGTACTCACTTTGTATGGCTGTATCATGTTATTTAAAAATGAATTTTTAAAAGTACCAAAATTATCAAAAATAACTGAAATTTTTGAAAATAGCCAATACTTTTGAAAATTTTTAATCATGTGATAAATGAATTTAAAATATCAAAAGTTCTTGAAAAATTTATTTACCACCTACTATCTGTATGGTTCGATCCATGAAAATTTAGCCAATGGAAGTCCACTCAGAAAAGTTTCCCACGAAATTTTCTTAATGGGAGATTTGCGTGGAATATCCCACGGAGAAAATTGTTGAAATAATAAATTTCTCTACCATCCATGGCAAATATGGTACTTTCAAAATTAGCTGCAATATCTTTCTGATGGGCCTACAACAGATTTAAATTTGTTTCCCAAAAGTGATTTTGAATGATAATACAGGGATAGCAGAAGCTTATTGAAGCCTTGAAAGACAAAAACTACCTATTTCAGTGTAGAAACTGAAAGAAATTTGAAGAGCTGTAGTAAAATCACATGAATTTTTATTTAATTTTTTTCGAATTCTTTTACTAGCGGATGTGGTTTGTCATTATGGTTTTGGACATGATTTTATTAATACTTTCACAGTTTCAGTTTATTTTTTGTACATACCACCATGTTCCAAACGATTTATTTTTAATTCTATTACCTGATTATTAATTATAATAACAGCATTTTAACGGTTTTTTTTTCCACCCTTTTCTTTGTATAGTATATAAATCTTGTGCTCTCTTTGCAGCATTTTTTTGACTTGACTTATTGTTATTTGTTTATAAATGTTCACAATCATGTTGTTGAAATATTCAAAATTCGGATAATTAAAAAAATGGTTTCTGATAAGTTTCAACAAATGTGTTTTACTCTTGGGTAACGTTGTTAGCACTCAAATTGTTCACTTTGATTGAATACACTCACTAACATGATTTGTGTTTATGAATTGTCACATATGTGACTTAGGAAAAAAAGGCGTTATGTTATGTGTTTGATTGCTTTTTTTCCTATTGGCCGTTTTTTGTTTTAAATGCATTTTCAACATTTATATTTGTGTTTATTTCGGGTTTTAATATCAAATATTTGAACTTATGGGTGGCCCTATAAAAAACATAACCCAGGTAATTTAGAACATATTCTACAGATGATTTAACTTTGGTCCAAAACGTCCTAGATTACTAAAATTTTTAGTTAGAATCGACAATCGTGCAAAAACAGAAGTTGAAGTGTTACAATAAATTTCTTCATACTAATACAAGGTAGATTATGAAGAGAATGCTGTTACATTATTCCAAAGAGTTACTACAAAAGGAATGTGTATTATTTTAATTGTATGGTATAATTGGTCTTTGTCCTTGCCGTTAGCAGATTTTGGGAATTTCTCTTAATATTTCACATTCTAACCTTATCCTGACTTCATAGGTTTTAAGCTTTTACTACTCTACATTTGAACTGATGATATAATTGACTGTATATTTTGATGACATAAAAGTTTCATGGATTATCAGTTTTGGTTTACTGTGCATTCAAATTAATGCCTCGAATTTGTATAGTTTCTTGCTTCTCTATAAAATTCTTGACGCTAAATCAAAGGCCCCATTCATATTGAGTATTGCTGACAGAATAATTTCAGACAGATAAAACAGGTTGACCTAAAAAACAGAGCCAGGTCATTTGGATCATATTTAGAGAGAATATATATATTGTGTACAATCTTACACAAAGAAAATTTAAAATGTTAAATAAATTTCTTTATTTTCGTAAAGATAATTAAGAAATTTATGGGTACCACTTCGGGTAATCTTGTATTTGTTATGGTAATTGGTATTAAATGATATAAGTTTAGTGAAATTTTATGTGCTTTTCGTATTTGTCTGGGGAAAATTCTTCCCTTGCAAATTGTGGATTTTTCACAAAAACTGACGCCTGGAGCGCCCATATTTGGCACACATATCACAGAATCTAAATGTTAATGTCAGTGATTTTACTTATTTTTAATCAGTTTAGCCCAAACTCTCTTTGAAAAACTCTTTTTTTTTGTATTGGTGAAATTGTAAATTGGATCGGAAACTGTTTTCGGATTTTATAAGGGCATACGCATTCAGAGATCCATTGATATCTCAATAAATATTAGGGGATTTCACTCTACTATTTGCTGTATACCAAAAACTGCCTCTGGGTATTACTACCTCACAATTGATCAATAAATGCTAATGAATTGTTTCTTTTTAGTGTTTTATTTTGTTATCCCGAGGTATAACTTTATTTTCATATATTTGTCCCTCAGAAAATTCTGCCATTGTTTTATGCTCTACAATGAACTAAGCCAGGGGTCGGGAACCTTTTTGGTCAAGAGAGCCCTAAAAGGCACATATTTTCAATTGCATTTCCGTGTGAGCCATACAGTATTTTTCATTTAATGAGGCCTGAAATTTTTACTCAAAACACATACCATATACATTTATTGTGACTAATGATTCTTGAACGGCTGCTCACATGCAGCACAAGTTGAAATCTACGATACTCATCACCCTTTTTTTGTTTCGTCATCTCCATAGTACTTTAAAAACTATCGCTTTGTGATGTCACAAAATATGTTCCAGAATCCCCTAGTTTTGTCACAATACCTGTTTGGAAATTCTCTTACATGTACTGGGCGCACGTTCTCGAACGTATTGGGAATTTTCTGTCAAATTTGTTTATAAAAGAGTTTGAAATCTCGTAACAATAGTAAGCTTAGCCTTAGAACATTAGAATTTTCTGGGAGCCACATGTCGTCACCAAAAGAGCCATATATGGCTCGCGAGCCATGGGTTCCCGACCCCTGAACTAAGCGGTAATAATTTGGTTTGTGTGTTTAAATTAAGACTATAGCTTTCATTAGTTGACTAGCAGCTAGCTACCTTGATTATTTGTTGGAATTTGGTGCTTGTCACTGACGCTCGTCATTATAGGATTTGATGTCGTCTACTGGTGTTCTACTATTGGTAATATACTAATATAGAAACATGTCTACTTCAATGAATTTTCAATATCTAACAATATATACAAGCACTTTTTAACCTATCCTGATGATTGCTATCCTATTGTGGAGTCGAAAAGAAGTAACTCCAATAACACCAAATTCGAATCGCAACTTTAGAATCCTGGGTTCTGTGACGAAATTTTGCCTGCGAAAGTTTTATTTTTGGCAAGGTTTGCCTGTTTCGATTGCGAATTTTGTCTCCAAATATCAGACGTCCGGGTTTAATGTTCCAATTTGGGTAATTCAAGATTCCCATTCCAGAAAACGACTTTGTAACAAAAATTGTCAATGACTAGAACCCTGGTCTCATTCTTTAGCTGTAGTTCATCCTAATCATTTTAATAAGCAATGACATTTCAACAGCTCTTGTTCTGATTGGCTGTATATTGGAGTGCCGTTGATGACAAAAGCACATGTCAGCTTTTACTTTTTTTTGTTGCCAATGAGTTCTATGGAGTTCCTACTTATTGTATTACATAACTTTATTTTTCTTCCACTTGTGTCCGTCTTATTCACAACTTGCTTCAGTTAAGTTCGAGCCAAAAATGAACTATCGATAGCTGATGTTTCGTGACCTAATTCATTACTCCTGAAGTATGTGCACCACGATGTTGCACAACCTGAACCCTAACCCGGTACACAACCTGTGTTCAGGTTGTGCGCCATCTTGGTGCGCATACTCCAGGAGGTCCCCTGATTCTGTGGTATAATTTTTATCGTAAATTTTTTGTATATTATTATTATGAACAAAGACGAATATAAGGGGGTTGCTCATTTGTGTGTTATAAAAATTGTTTTTTCGCTATTACTTAGTACAAGCGCAGATATTATAATAATAAATGTGTACAAAGTTTTAGCCTCGATGGTGTTTTCTTTTGAATATTGGAGTTTGGGTTTGTGCAGAAGTTGTAGATTAGTCAACAAGTTAGCAGTTGGTTTTGCAGATTACACATCGTTGGTTATGAACCCATATCTGCCACCTTACCCACGATGTAATGAATTGCGTAGGCAATGCTGACAGGAGAGATTCTGATCCTTATGAAAATTGTAGCTCCTTCCTGTTAGATATCACTGTTTGCAAGTACAGTGCTTTGTGTTGAGCAATGAACAACGCGCCGCCTATGAGAAAAGCAATGTTTCAATGCATTTAGTTTTGTATTGAGAAAACAGTGTGCAATGTAGTTCTAATAATACATTGTCTTTTTGGATGGTTTTGATCAAAACTGCAATTCATGTTACCGTATGTAAAATCGGGTTAGGATAAAAATTTAAGAGGGTTTCGTTTGGTTCAAATGGCAGATTATCATCCTGCATCCCGGTGTTGTGAAAAATTTATGTCCTGCCATCTCTGAATCAGCCCCCATGTCGACAAAATTCTTGACTTCAGCTCGTAGGAAAACCGGAGTAAGCTTTTGATGCTTGTAGGGAATGCTTTGTCAAACTCTATGCTTTCCTATTGGCTTTAATTACATTAACCTTCTACTCCGCGGAGTTTAGAAAGAAGACTCAACTCCACAATCTTGCAGTACATGGTGACCCCACAAAGCAGAACCCAGGTCATTTTCAACATATCCTGAACAGAAAATAACTTTTGCGCAAAGCGTCTGAAACTTTTGATACAATCATACAGAAACCTCTTTGTAGAATTAATGGATTGTGTTTTCGGGGTCACCTTGTATGTATCCTAGTTCAGTAATAACAAGCAAACCATAAACTATTTCCCAATCTAGTTTAAAGATGCTTAAACATCAATATTGATTGATTCTTCCACAGAATCGAAACACACATATATTACATAATTTCTCATTAATTCTTGAAAATATACAATCAAAAACAGCAAATACAACTTGAGCACAAACACAAGTCAAGCAAAATAAATAAATTCAACTTCAAACAAGAACAGATTCTGAACTTAAAATATCATAAATGGTCAGGCAGTGAGAAGAACATAGCAGCATTTCATATCCAGCATGGGTTAAACATTGGTTATGATTGTGTTGGTGTCATGGCTCTGGAGACCCTCGGTCATAAAAAACTTGATTTAGACACAGAAGATTTCCACTCGATTCCAGCTCTTAACTCATACGCAAGCTTTATTCAAAAGACAATTGTTGAGTATTATCAGTGAAATTGTTGCAATTTTTATCACAATTGAAAGCCTGCAATTCCAATTCTGGGGAATTACGAATTATAAGTCTGGCCTACCTGCAAACCCTTTAAACTCTGACCAAATAGCCCTGGTTGATGATCTACAACAGTTATTGGTGAAATGTGATAAAGGCAATGCGATTCAATTATAAACAAAGAAGACAGAAAATATGAATTTTTATGATCCTTACAATCACATAAACTGATATAAAACACTCGCAACATACACAACTGAGGAAGCAATCATGAACAGATTTGTTAGTTCTTACAAATGAGGGATTCAATATTCATAAATAGATAGAAGTACAAGTCAGAAAAGAATAAAGTAGGTATCAATATGAGGGATATCAAAATTTTATATTGAACTCAGTGACAACATATTTTTCATTTCAGAAAAACCATGCCAAACTTACAGGTTACAGCTCTAAAAATAAGATAGGGTTCGCTCATTTTACCACTCCAAAAACGGTTTCATGTCCCCATCGAATATATCCTCAAAGCGTCAAACACAACACGTACAAACAAAACTCGTACACATGTACGAGAAGACAAATTTTCGTGTTCAACACTAATAAAAAAGACAGTTTTTTCCCTAAAAAAGGAATGAAAAACAAGCCAGAATGATTTAAAACTATCAAGAAATATTCAGTTCAAGTCTTTCACTTTAAAAAAGATTAAAATATACCATTGGTGAAATTAATTTCATAATCCATTCAATACAATATCACAAGAAATTATGCTATAAAACTGCTATTTGATATCAGAAACATTAAATTGTCAGTGTTTTACAAGAGTCTCTAAGCTTCAAGATGAACTTAAGAATTCTTTGGGAATACTTTTTAAAAACTTTGCTATCGTAAGTTGGCAGTGAATAGGAAGTCCATAAATAACACAAGCAGCTCCATTGATGTGAGGCATTTTCAAGGCTTTCCGAGCTTTATCTGTGCATCGTGGCATCATTTCTTTTTTACCATCTGCCCAATTTTCCAATAGTTTACACAAAAACATGTCGATGTCCTTATCGGTGACCTTCCAAAGACATCCTAGGATACACGGCGATCCCGTCATAAGATAATTTATGACAATACCTCCAGGCTCAAAAACACCTGGTTGGTCTAATTTTGCGCTTCCACAACCCATCAGTAATGCAGCAGCTCTTGTTTTTATGTTGCGAAAATCTGTGCTAGAAACGTACTTTGTCCCTGATCCGTGTCCACAAAAAATGAAAAGATCAAATTCTGTGATACTTGAAATCCATTCTTTTTGTCGAGGTTCTCGTGATACAATTCCCTTCCATGATTTCATACCCTGAAACCAATCTTTATATCGTTCTTCTGATTTTACTAAATCCCCATTTGGGTTTAAAATATAAGAAACATCTTTTAAATTCACACCTTTTTTTGCAACATTGTTTTCAGCAGAATTTAACAGGTGTAGTTGGAGCTTCAACAGATCTGCGGATGGTAATCTGGTTACCGACTCACCCTGGAGTTGAACTGTGACCTCCCATGGCAAAAGTTGGACATCCTTATCTAGTATTAGTATAACATGATGCCTGGATTGATTGTTTAGATCTAAGTCACTTGATGATGTTTCTAGTGCACTAGAAATCGCTGAGATGTTTTTTGTGGTAGTTGTATTTCCACACACATCAATAATGCCTTGTAATTTTTGTTCGGCTGTCAAGAAGCCCCAAGAGTTTAGTAACACTTCAATATTCTGTTCTTTGTATTTTGGAACATTGAATTTTTCTATAATATCGTTAACGGTATCATAAAATTTATTTGCTACTGCTTCATCCACCAGCTTGCCACATAAAATTCCGATGTTACAGCCAAGAGCTTTGGTACCCAATGTATCAAGGATGCTTCCAAGTTCAGTATTAAAGTTACGTCTTTGTGTCCACCAATAATTTCTATCCCTTGATTTCAATGCAGCAGTATTTCTTACCATTAAATCACTGAATTTTTCCAAGATCTCTTCTAAATAAGTTCCATCAGTTTGAATATGTAATGGAGCAATGCCATGTCGGAGTCTGGAAAGTAGAAGTTTGGAACCTCCAGATTGCTGTGATAGAGATATAACACAAATTGTCCAATCCGTTGGCAGAAGATCTGTAATGCTATTGATATAACCATCACTGTCTGTTGTACATGATTTCAAAGCATGACCGGGGCTTGTCTCCTTCATTAATTTGTGAACGCAAGTACAAGTAGGCACACACTTTTTAGACAAACATGGCACATTTTTGATTGTTTTAGCATAAAGATGCATCGCTGATCTTGTGGTAACGCCAACTGAAAAGAGATGGAACGCAGTAGCCTTGATAATATCTTGTACTCTTTCACTTTCCTTAGCGGAAACATGATGACAAGCAGAGATTGCTTGAGCACATAATTTCATTGTCAAAAAATCACTAACCACATTCGCAGATGACAATGCATCTAATAAATAAGTCAGCATAATTCCAGTTGAATAGTTAGAATAAGGAACTTCATTTAAAATTTGTTTGCCTTTTCCAGGTTTAGTAAAACTTCTGGCAACACTGGGTTTACCAATTCTACCCCTCACTCTTTCCTTATCATCATCTGAATAAATGTTGCCAAATTGTTTTCTATGCCTTCGTGTTGCGGCTTTACGAGCTTGCATAATGTTTTGTGAATTTTTTAGAGATTTTTTTGGAGTTTTTTTATCGTCACCGCTGGACATAAATTCATAAACGTTTTTACTGCATGGTGACGGACTTCTTGACGTAATATACTCCGGTACGGGTAGCTTGTTTTCTTTTTCATTTTTTTCTGTGAATATTTTGAAATTTTTCGAAGGTTCTTTCTTTTTAGTTCTGGATGAAGTTGCCCTATTCGCCCGTGCTGGAACAGAGCCAGGTTTTGCTTTTTTAGTAGTAGGTACTTTCTTTCTTCTTCTTTCCATTACAGGAGTGTGTACCTCGGTCTCTTCTGTAGAAGAGATATGGCATTTTGAAAGTCCGTCGATAATGGCATTTAACAATGCAGAATCAATGGAAACATTTTTGGACGATGATTTCGGTCCAGCAATACAGGAATGCTGAAATTTTATCCTCGACTTTATTATAAAGTAATTAATGTCTGTGAAATTATCCAAATCCAATGACTTTGTTGCTTCATTGCAACTGCTTAGAGATTCCTCAATGTTGAGTTTAAGCAAGTGTAATTTTGAATTTACGACATGACTAGATGCAACTTGTGGCAAAAAAAATTCGTTTAATTCGACATCGTCCATAAGCGGAATTAAATTAGATCGAGTGTCCAAATTGGAAATTGCTTTGAAAATCTTTTTACAAACTTCAAATCCTGCTTCTAATGCATTTGATCTTGCGTAATATTCAGCTATTGTGTTGACATAGTCCAATTGCATTTTGATGGACTGAAAATTGAAGTGAGGTTCGCATGAACAACTCTTCACTTTCTTTTGCAGAAATAATTTCGGCATCGGTAAAAGTTTCAACTTTTTTCGTTTCACGACAGAAGGACTAGCAGAGAGATCAGTTGTTGGATTTTGATAACAATCTATATCTAGTGCAGGAGTAGAAAATTGAATAGCGTCATCATCTGTAGATCCAACCATATCATGCTCAACGTCTCTAACTTCATTGATGTCCTTACCAATGTCATCATAATCATCGTTTTCACATTGGAGAACGCTATCATCGAGTACACTTTTATCAGACGTGCATTCGCATTCATTTACTTGACAAAAATATTTACAAAGCTGAGGAAAATTTTCCTCATCCTGAGATAAAGACGCAATTTGTAATTTGACTACACAAAATGAAGCATACCAATTCTTGAGACAGAGATATTTCGAATGAACCAATCCAATTTGGCAATACCCATTTGCCATTTTAGGATCACCCATGATTAAATATGCTTCTGAAACGTTATATAAATTTTCAAAAAAATAATTCATTGCGCTTAATTGTATAAATGGATCATAATAACCTTCATTTGGTTTTATATCAAATATTATTCCTTCTTCCGATCCACTTTTGCTCTGAACAGTATGTAAATTTGGAAGTATGGACACTTTTAGAGAAGCGATCCTCCTAGATGTTGCCAGCAGTTTAGAAATTCGCATTTCAGTTGAATCAGGTCCTAAAATTTTGCAATTTGAACTCATAGCTTGGACGGAACAAAATAAAGCAGTAATTGATCTTTGAATAACTTCCAAGCTTAAAAAATCTTCCTTCATACAACCGTCTATAACTTCTTGTGCTTCTACATCATTACCGAGAGCACAGTTGATTTCAGCGAGCAAAATTTTAAATTTTGTAAACAGCGTGTTACGCGCCTTTGAACCTGTTTCAGAATCACTACATCCATCAATATAATCAATGTATTTGTTAAACGCAACCGAAGCCAATTTTGAATATTTTTCCGCTAGCTTTACTTGCCGAAGTGCTAGATAACCGAAACCAAGCTCACAAAGCACAGAACAATTATTCCACAACGTAACGATAGTTTCTTCTGTTTCATTGCAATCAGACAGAAATACGTGACATGCTGTCATCAATCGTACATTCATGATAGGTTTTTGAAATAGTTGAAACAAAGCTGAAACTTTATGTATAGCTTTGAAAGTCTTTTCATGCATTGAAAATGGATATTTTTCTTCAGCTGCCTTTTCACACAACAATACAATTTCATTTAATATTTGTGTATTGATATATAAAGATTTGTCCGAACTGTTTTGCACTGCTTTACTCCACATTTCCATAAATTCAATTAATTTGACTTGAACATAACATTCCCATGTTTCAGAATCTGGCTTGCATAAAGGATAAATTGTTTTAAAATTGTGTTCACTACATTCCCCCAGCTCATATTCTAATTCTATTTTGTTGCACGATAATAATGCTTTTCTCCTCATTTGCAGATGACATTGATTCGAAATCGTGTTGATAACAGATAATTGCTCCATTTCTGTGTTATTTATTGAACGGTATATTTCAAGTTCTGCCAGAAGAATTTCTTCCATAGATTGTTTTGAGATTGAATTTTTGATTTCATGCAATATAGTTCGTTTTTTGAATTGCTCCAGCTTTTTTCCATCTAAGCAATTACTTTCTCTTAGTTTAGCTTTCACCCAATGACTTATCAATGGTTTTGCGACAGAATATTGAACTTTCACGAGCGATTTTTCTACAATTTTCATTGCCGATAAATTCTTTAACAGTTTTCTTTTTACTTTTACAAGAACAATGGCAACATTGGTGAACAAAGCACTTGTTTTACCGCTATCTTCAAATTTATACTCAAAAATACAATTGAACAAATTTTGAGCAACGGTTTCAACAGAAGAATCAAAATTATCTGTTCCTTTAAAATTGATCCCAGCAGCACATATTCTCATCACAATTTCTAGGAAATATAAAACTGAATCTAATATATTATCCTTTAAAGATAATATTTCCACATTCCTTTCCAAAAGAACGTTGAGGTCTTCTAAAATCATTTTCATACAATCAGTTGTTGTAATTTTAAAAGCAAAGTAATAAAAATTCACAACTTTGTTCAAAACTTCAAGACTCTTTGTGTCATTTGTTAAATTAGAAAACATGTTGATACATTTCACAATATTTTTCAAAGAACCGTTTATTTTTCCTTCGATATTTGTTACCATTGTTAAATAACATTTAAAAATAGCCAGGTACACTTTTGTATGTCCATTTGTATCAGATTGTTCAGACTTTTTGTTTAAACTTTGTAGAGTTGATACGGAAGTTTCAATATTCTCCATATGTTCACTGATTCTTCGTTCAGACTGCTCATTTTTACCATTATTAAGAAGAATGATATTTTCAATCATTTTCAAAAGTGTTTGAAACTGTGAACTCGACTTATTATTTTCACTTATTTTAGAATTGAGAAGAAAATTCATACTTGTATTTGCGACACATTTCACATGACTGTCTGAGAAGTTAGATCGACTCAAATGTTTTTCTGATGTAATCATAACATTACTTATCAATTCAAATTCGGAAGTTGACCCAGAGCTGCTGCTTATACACAAAGAAAGCAATTCCATTTCAAAACATTTCACCACTTCACAATCCTTTGGGCATCTGCATTTGATGTCATTTTTGTAAAAATTTTTCAACTTATAAGCGATCCAATCAGATACTTTTTTTGAGCATCCACCAGGTAGTGGAATGAGATCCTGAATGCAATCAACAAGTTGTTTTATATATTCATTATCTTCTTTTACTTCCAAAGCTCGCTTAAATGCTCCATTAATTAAAACATCAAGCTGTATTGCTTTTGTATCTTCGATAATCTTCCAGTTTTGAATAAGATATCGTACACAGGTTAAAACTATTTTAGAAATATTAGTGCCAGAACGATTTTTGTTTTCAGCGATAACATCATATAGAAGCGCATGAATAACTTTAATTCTCTTTTCCTCAGAAGTTCCTTTGTTTTGAAATACTTTAGAATATGCTTGTGCTTTTTTCGATAAAATACTTTGCTGTGCCCTCAAGACATCGCCAATTTCTCCCATTTCTTATTAAATAGGCTGTGAAGTAATAGAACAGAAAATATATGTAAATTAAAAAATCAGTAGTACTGTAGTACTGTAGAATGCTGGGGCGATTATGCTGTTAATGTTAAATAACATTTTCTACCGTAATTACTTGGTGGTGGAGGAAGCCGTAACCGACCAGCGGTTACGTGAACCACCCAACGACGGCGAGGAGTCCAGCAATCCTCTCGCACATAACCACCTCTGCAAGGGATTCGAACCCACGCAGAGTAATTAGAGGTGCGGTGGCGAGTGTATTCCTAATGCTTAGCCCGTTGAGCCACACCGCCGCGCCAATAAAGCATAAACCAGAGAAACAAGAAATATCAGCACTGGCGTCAGCAAAAAACATGCTGCTTTTCCCTGATTTTCATTAATACACTACTAGATACCGTACTAATACTTGGATTAGAATCACGAGCCTTTACTTCACTGCAATATATTCTAAAAGTGATAGCCTACATCTTCAGAAATTGCAGTACCGGTACACAGACAGGCGTAATACAGTAATACTGTAATATGATAGCATTATTTTCGAGCCAGCAAGCAGACAAATATATAATTAGTACGGTAAGGTCTATTTAATTGTAAGTGTTATATTCATTTTTCAATACAACGGAAAAAACATATCATACATTACGGCAAAATTATTCTCACTAAAATTCAGTACGTTACCGGTACGGCATATTACAGCACCGCACGGTACCGGTACGCTTTTCGGTACCGGTATTACAGTATTATTTACATAACTCATGTATATTTTTTTTTGCCAAATTTAAATCCATTGCCAAATTGGATTTATGAAATTGATAGTTTCGGTTTATTCAAATAAATATTTCAATTTTGTTGCTCATGTATATTCACAGATTCAATACAATCAGCAGAAATTCATAATTTGGCGCTACTGCTCTATATCCCCATCCTACGATCTTCGACTTTCTCGTTTCGTCAATGGAGTCTGGACGTTGTTTCCCTGAGTATCGATTTCCTTGTTCATTGCTGTAATCGCAACCGATCAGCAATGAGCCAATCACAAATTCAACCAAGTCAACAAAACGTAACAATTGCAATTTCTGCAGGTTCGGTAAAGTCTTCACTGCTATAAGATCAATGAAAGATACGGACCCCACTCTGCTCCAGAAAGTATTATTACATTACCCGACATGGACTGGTAACCGGGCGAGAGGCCATGGTTCGCCATGTGATCAAGCCGTCTCATAGATAGATAGATAATGATTTATTTCCAATACAAGTACATAATACAATAAGCATGAGCAAATAACAATAAGCAAAAAAATGTATACGGAAGGGGACGGGCAAGACTTCCAAGGTCAACAAGGTCGACCGACCCCTAAGGTAAGATTCTACCAAGACAGGACACTCTAAGGCAGGCATCATAATTACAATAGAAGAAATATAAATTTATGGAGTTTTAAGCCCGGTTAGGAGGCCCCATAAATCAATTCCCCGAAAGTATTGGAATAGGAATAAAAATTACAAGGAACAAGAACATCACATGATTACGCAGACCATGTTTTTAATAGTAATTGAAAATGCGAGAAAGAATAAGAAGGGCGTCGGGCTAATTACAATTAATTATACTTTATGTTAAACACGAATCAAATCGTGAGAATGAGGCAATTTCTATGAATAGGTGAAAAATTAAAAATACCATACTTCCCAAGCTATATAGTACATATAATTATGACTTCGGGCTATATATAATAGCATCTTCAATAATTTTCACAAAGACATATGAAAAATCCATATATAAGATTGTGAATTCCTATCCATTTTAAAAATCTGATGGCATACACTGAGATTTGCATGATATTGCATCATATTATGATCCGCTGAAATGCTGTTTTAATTTGCAAATAGGGTGGTATCAATTAAAGATTGAAAATTACAAGAAAAAAGAACATCGCATGATTATGCAGGTTATACTTTTTTTAATAGTAAATAAAATGCGAAAAGAAGTGAAAAATTAAGAAGGGCGTAAGCCTAATTATAATTTCCTCAAATTTAATTTTACTTTATGTTCGACAAAAATCAAATAGTGAGAATGAGGCAGTTTCTATAAATGGGTGAAAAATTTAAAATACCATATTTCCAAAGCTATATAGTACATATGAACACTTCAGACTATATATAATAGTATCTTCAATAATTTTCACAGAGACATACATCTATAAAATGGTGATTTCCTGTCCATTTTATGAATCTGATAGCATTCAAAGATGAACAGGTTGATCAAAGATGAACAGGTTGAATTATAATTATATAATGGGTGACTTCAACTATAATCTTATTGATGAGTCCAATATGAATACCAGCCTATTTGTTGATATTATGCACAACATGGCCTATTATTCTTTGATAAACTGCCCCACCAGGATAACTTCAAGTTCTGCTACCTGTATAGACCACATCTGGACAAACGTATATGATAAAAAAATTAACAGTGCTGTTTTAGCAGAATGTGTTTCTGATCATCTGCCGATTGTACAATGCTCTCTTCAAAAAAAGCAAATTCAGACCAGAATTGAAACGCTTTATCGCCAGTTTACTTCGTCCAACTTGAATACTTTTATGAATGAACTGAATTCTATTGATATTGATGACTTTAGCAGCATCGAGGATCCCAACACTTGCTTTGAAATTTTTTTTGAAAAATTCTCCACTGCTTACTCTCAATCTTTTCCTTACAAAAAACAGACAGACAGATCAAACAAACCTTGGTATGATACTGAGTTACGCAAACTCAACAAAGTCAAACAAAAACTTTATAAGAAATTAATAAACAATAAAAACATAAATGACAAGCACAAATTACAGTTCAATGAATGCAGGAACCTTTATACTCGATTGCTCCACAAAAAGAAATCAAATTATTACAAATCTAAATTTGCTTCTCACAAAGGCAACATCAAGGCAGTGTGGAAAACAATTAATGAACTTATTGGTAAAAATAAAACAAATTCTTGTCCTTTGATTGGATTTGATTGCAGTAATACACAAACTGCAAATAAATTTAATGAACACTTTTCCCAAGTGGCACAAAGCCTGCTTGACTGTATGCCACAACCAGCTGGCTGTGACAAAAATTACATTTCATATCTTGGGAAGCAAGAATCCTCATCCATGTTCTTAAGGCCAGCTACATCATTAGAAATAAAAAATATTATACGCGATATGAAGCCCAAGTCAAGTTTTGGAATCGATGGTATTCCATTTAAAATATTGAAATATGTTCCAGAACATATTATTGATATCCTGACATATATATTTAATCTTTCACTATCTAGTGGATTATTCATTGAAAGCTTCAAGACATCCAAAGTTCTTCCTCTCTTTAAAAAGGGTAGTGTTTCAGATCTTGGAAACTATAGACCTATTAGTCTTTTACCAATTACCATCATTTTCTAAGATTCTTGAAAAAATAATGTATAGTAGAATGTCAAACTACTTTGAAACTAACAATGTTTTCCACTCGCATCAATTTGGTTTCCGCAAGCATCACTCCACTGCTATGGCTGCTAATGTTTTGGTACACAAACTGACCAATGCGTTTGAATACAAACAACATGCAATTGGAATATTTCTTGATATCTCAAAAGCTTTTGACACCATTGACCATTCCATCCTCTTAAGTAAGCTCTATCACTATGGAATTAGAGGCGTTCCATTCAATTGGATCAAGAGCTACCTTCAAGACAGGAAGCAAATTGTGCAATATGACAACTCATTCTCTACAAATATTTGTGTCATGAAGCACGGAGTTCCACAAGGATCTTTACTTGGCCCATTATTTTTTCTAGCTTACATTAATGACATGTCCAGGTGTCTGAAATCCTCTGAGTCGATCATGTTTGCTGATGACACTAACTTGATTCTTCATGGGGAAAACCTTGAAGATCTATTCACAGTTGCAAACCAAGAACTAACCAACATTCGTAGCTGGATGTTAGTTAATAAATTATCTCTGAATGCTAACAAAACTAAATTTGTATTATTCCATCCAAGCAAGCATAAAAGTGTGAGTTGTTCAAAAAAACTACTGCTCAATGGCAATGAAATTGAAAGAGTGAAAGAAATAAAATTTCTATTAGTTATCTTTGATGAAAATCTGTCATGAAAATCACAAATAATGCATGTTATTGGTAAAACAAAAAGAAACCTAGCAGTTTCTGCCAAAGTATCCCAGTGTGTTGATCAATCAGCTCTACTAGCAATGTTTCAATCATTACTACTTAGCCATATTCGATATTGTTGTTCAGTCTGGCTTCATGGTAATAAAACACTTGTCTCAAAACTGCAGAGTATTTGTAATAATTTTTTAAGAATAGTTTTTGGTAAAAGAAAACGTGAAAGTGTAGAATCTTACTTCAAATCACTAAATATAGCCTACTTAAGGTTGAAGATATGATGAAATTTGAAATATTATCTCTAGCTCACGACTTCCATAATAATGCGCTGCCCAATTGCTTTAATGACATACTTGTCAAAAATACCTCCAACCGAAGAAGCAGTTCTGATTTATTCGTACCTTTCATGAGTAAATCCGTGAGTCAGCATTCCTTGTCTTTTACTGGACCCAAACTTTGGAATTCTCTTCCCTTAAATTTGAAGACCTTAAAGTCCAAAAAATCTTTTCAAAAACAAGTCAAGTCTCATTTAGTTTCCAAATATTAAAAATTACTACTGGTGGTATTCGATGACAAAAACTTGGGACACTCCACACTTGCACATTATTGTTTTAATGAAAATGTTGAACAGCTATAATAATATTGTTATATCTTGCCACGACTTGGCCAGAACTAGTCCAGCACCAAAGAAATGGTATTGTGACATGCTTGAGTATATATATATATATTTTTAAATATATAGGTAGCTAAGTTTTCCATCTTTGTATCATATTGTTCTTGCCGTTGCATGTCTTAATAGTGAAAATTTTCTGCCATGTATATTTCAAGCAAAGTGATTTGTA